AATGTCCGCATTGATGCGGGAAAACTCATCCACCATTACAACGTGACCATGTGCTCGGTGTATATGATGATCATCAATGTCCAAACAGCGACACGGAAAGGTTGTTTCAGGGGTCCATCTGCGCTGCCATGTGCGGTAGTTGTAGATCTTGTCGCCCAACGTGGCACTGCGAGTTTCCACCACCCGGATCTTTGGAAGGAAAAGAGAAGGGAACAGATCCCGATGAGAAGCAATCCAGCTTTGTAGCCATGTGCCAAGTAGAGCTTTCCAATTCCGGACATGCAGCGGCGGTAGGAGTAGCTGTGTCAAAGTGGTGGGTGGTTGTAGCCGTCGTTTGCGCAACACCTGGGCGAGGAGTTTCTGCGCCTTGGAGCGGAAGGGCTCGTTGACAAAGACGGCGAGCCGCAGTAAGTAGTACAGCTGAGTAGGAGGGAAAGCTGCCGACAGTAGGTCACGCATGACTTGGAACGATGCTCCTGTATTGGATCCCAGCTGATAGAGAATAGAGTAATGGGCCTGAATGTCATCCAGCATGGCGGGTCGTAGTTGCCGTTGGAGATCCGGATGTAGTCGTCGTCGAAAGCGCTTGTGCAAGCTGAGGGAAGTGGGAGACGACAACGAGTGACGTCGAAAATCCACGAGATGTTCCCGGAAGCCCACCTTTCGCAAGATTCTGTGTACCCAGGGCGCATTCAAATGCGGGCGTAGCAAGTATTGCCATTTACTTTCTTGAACCCACACCGAGGAAACAGGAAGTTTGATCTCCACCGGAACAGCACAGAAGAGCCAGTAAGTATTGGATCTCTTCCAGTAGTGAAGCGCGGGTTCGAAGAAGGCATGCCGTCCACGAAGTAGTTGTAGAAATTTGCGACTGCGTGAGTGTTCACGACGTAGAACATCCTGATCAGTCGCCCCAACATAGTAGGGTGTGTGCCATGGGGAAAGTCGAATGTAGACGCACGGTTGTTGATGATGACCTGGATCGTGTATGAAGTCATAGAGGTCAGGAAATCGTGCCCGCAATGAGCGAAGATGTCGCGTGTCGGCAAAAGTGGAGTGCATGATTTCACACAAGAGAGAAGTCTTGTAGAAGTGAAGAACTTCAAAGAACGGCGGAAAGTAGCCATGATCTTGTGAAATGAGACGTTGTAAGAAACTGATCAATAAATAGGCAGTGCACCGACATCTGTGAAGCTCATACCTGTTGGCCACGGTGTGCTGAGAGCGTGACATAGCGTGGTTCGGAATCTGAAGGGCTATCCGGACCACAACTAAGACTTCGAGAATGAGGCCCAACCACGGTAATTGTGTGATTGATTCGTACTCATCATCTGGTATCGACGGTGGTGGTAGTCCAGGAAAACAGTATTGCCAGCACGTGGAGAACATGGTCAACGAGTGTAAAAGGTCGGCCAGCGACTGCCATTGTGCAACATCATCATAGATTCCACAGCGGCGAAGCTCATCCAACATGGTGAAATACAACCAATGAAATCTACCACAAGGCGGCGACATGAATACAAGCTGCACAGACAATCACGCACAAGGCAATGCAAGAACGAGCAAGTGCAAGATCAAACTAGTGCAACGCAGAAAATTGACGGACGAGTTTTCACCTGACTCATCCGTGACATGGTTGCCGCTCCGGGCTCATAAGAGAACGAAGGTCATTATGATGCCTTCTCATCCGCAGAGTAGGCGAGCGGTCACGATGAGGTGACTCAATGCCTTCTCAGTGAGCTTGGTAAGATAGCCGGGCTCCAGTCCCCACGAAGCCGCCATCGCCCCGAGAGTGGGTGCGTCGCCTTTCGGCATGCGTTGACGCGCCTGAAGGAGCTGCGTCGCCATGGAATCTAATGACTTGTTGCCGTTGAGCCGGGACGGGTGATTGGCCCACTTAACCAGCGACGCCAAAGTGGTGGTTGTGGGCGATTGCTTGAGATAAAGGCGAGGCTGGTCACTGGTCCATGTGTAGTACTTGACAACTTCATCCGGCGTGCTGTGCATGGTGAGCAATTGCGACGCCGCCGGCTTAGACGGCGGTGACGACACTCCGTGAAGAGACTGAATGATCCGAGGTTGCACCGTGCTATCAAACGACTTGCCATCAAGGGCCGCTGCGCTGGCTGTAGGAAGGGAACTGGCAGGTGACGAGGATGTTGTGTGGTTGACCGGTGGCGGTGTAACCAACTCTGCATCATCTTTCTGGCTTGCCATCGTGGGAGAGGTCGAAGCGCGCAGCGATGCGGAATACTGAGCTTGGAGCAGTTCGTGCGCACGATTTAGATCATTGTACTTCTTGACCATGTCATCTGTCTGGGTGGAAGGTGTGAGAGAGGTGTGATGTTGCTGAAGAAATTGAAGTACCAAGCTGGCCAAATGGTCATGAACCTTGATCCGCTGATTGAAGTCATCGATGTTGAGACCCAGCGAGTTGGCAAGGTCCTTTTCCAGGGTGAGCAGGTTGAGTGACTGTGATCGTCGTAGTAGTTTGGAACAGGTACTCCAAAGTAAGGCCTCGGTGCGAGTGCGAAAGCCTTCCCACGTCACGAATCTGCCGTGAGCGAACGGTCGGAGTAGCCAGTTGGTGAGGCCCCCGTGGATAACCTGAACCAGGCGAACGTCCCGAATATCCATGCCTGACATGTCGCGAAGGTTGCCATGCGGAGTGTTGGCAACGGTCATGGGCAGGCTAAAGTTGTAGAGCTGATTGACATCAAACATGCCATCTCCAGGTGTCCAGTCAGGCGAAGGTGTAAGCCAGGCTTTCTGAGGACGAACCGGTAGAGCCGCAGGAGGTCCAGGTGGCGGTGTAGGTTGAGGAGTAGTGACCGGTGGTGGCATCACGGGTGGCATGAACTTGGTTGGCGCGGGGTCTGGAGGGATCGGCATCATGTAGTTGATCGCTGGGTGTTGGAATTGCTGTGTGGGGCTGTGAGTCGATTGAAAGTTGGTGGGCATCATCGGAAAGTTGTTGGCAGAGTTGTAGCCGGAATTGTGTTGCCACGATACCAGGTTGTTCCAATCCATGTTATCCGAGACCTGGCTGTCATTGTGTTCACGTCGGCGTGCTTTGCGAGCTTGAGGGGAAGGACTCCGATCACGTCTGCGCCGAGTCCTAGATCTATCTCGATCATCACGTCGAGACATGATGGCACAACAAATGCAAAACCGCAACTCCACAATCTTGAGAGGAACGAGTCCGACAAAATGCAAGTCCATGCAAGTTCAAGTCAGCAGCCAGCAGCAAACCTAGTGAGACGTCTCTATGATCTGACAGCTGTCTTCCCTTTAGTGAAACCTCGTTCCTGGTTAAATGTGAAATTCCGCTGTTCTATGATAAGAACGTTGAGGTCAAATTTTCCGACAGAGCCGGCCCGGGGTCACACAATGGGTACACCCGAGGATTCCCCACGAATGGGGTGTACACACTTGAACTCCAGATGGAGAGTGCTAATCTTTCGAGTACAACTGATGAGTTTCGAGTACAACTGATGAGTCTCGAGTATGGTGAGCTTCGACTCGCACATCACTCAGCTTCACTCTAGTTACTTGAACAGGGGCACACAAAGCAACGGCGGTTCAGGGGGGGACCAAAAGGACATTCACAAACATCACAATTGCAGGTACGTCCAGCTGATCAGGCTGGATATCACGAGTTAACAGCGAGCGTCTTTGTTGGCGCAGGACTCGCTGAAACTCCCTGCGCCCCCTGCTGCAGCGGAAAAAGGTTTTGGTGGCAGGGTATTCTGCCACTCCGCACACACACACACACACCGCATGCACTTGCGCACGCCCACGCACACATACGCTCACACACATAACACAGACACCCCCACGCACACAGACAAAGACACGCACACACAAACACACACACACACACAAACACACACAAACACACACAAACACACACAAACACACACAAACACACACACACACACAAACAACACACACACAAACACACACAAACACACACACACACACACACACACAGACAGACAGACAGACAGAGACAGACAGACAGACAGAGAGACAGACAGACAGACAGACAGACAGACAGACAGACAGACAGACAGACAGACAGACAGACAGACAGACAGACAGACAGACAGACAGACAGACAGACAGACAGACAGACAGACAGACAGACAGACAGACAGACAGACAGACAGACAGACAGACAGACAGACAGACAGACAGACAGACAGACAGACAGACAGACGACAGACAGACAGACAGCACACGCACACGCCCACGCACACACACACACACACACACACGCACACGCACACGCACACACACACACACAAACACACACCCGCACGCCCACACAAGCGCTCGCACGCACGAATGCGCGCACCCGCACACGCACTTGCACTTGCAGACGCGCACACGCACTTGCACTTACACACGCACACACACGCACACACGCACACACACACACACCCACCCACACACACGCACACACACACACACACAGACACCCCCCCCCCGCGCGCACGGACGCAGGCGCACGCAGACAAACAAAGACACACACACAAGCGCATGACCGAAAGTGCATGCACAGACACGCACTCACACACAGACACACACGCACGCGCACGCACGCACGCACACACACACACACTCGCAGACATGGCGCGCACACGCGCACGTGACACACGCACGCACGCACTTGCCTACCCACGCAGACGCAAGGAGCACACGTGCACACACACACACACACACGTGCACCACACACACACACACACGTGCACCACACGCACACACACACACACACACACACACACACACACACACACACACACGCACCACGCACACGCGCACACGCGCACCGCACGTGCGCACACACACACACACACCCTCCCATGCACCCACCCACCCCCCCACGCTCGCCCGCCCGCCCACCCGCGTGCACGCACGCACGCACGCACGCACGCACCGGACGTGGGCATTTTTGCACACGCATGCACCTCCCCGAACGGTTTGACATCCATCAGGCCATGGCCATGCTGCGGGTCACCCAGACCGTCATCGAGACCTGGGGGCGCTACGAGCGCGCTAGGGCATGGGGCCTGCGTCAGGACGCTCGACCGGATGAAACTGCTCCAAACCTTCAAAAATGTGTGTGTGTGTGCGTGTGTGTGTGTGTAAGTGTGTGTAAGTGTGTGTGTGTGTGTGTAAGTGTGTAAGTGTGTGTGTGTGTGTAAGTGTGTGGGTGTGGGTGTGCGTGTGTGTGTTTGTGTGTGTGTGTGTGTGTCTGTGTGTGTATCTGTGTGTGTATCTGTGTGTGTATCTGTGTGTGTGTGTGTCTGTGTGTGTGTCTCTGTGTCTCTGTGTGTCTCTGTGTGTCTCTGTGTGTCTCTGTGTGTCTCTGTGTGTCTCTGTGTGTCTGTGAGTTTGTTTTTCTCTTTTGGGTGGCCCCCCCTTTTTGCTCAATTTTTGACAAAACAATGCGGGTAGACGTTGTTGAACATGTTTCGCTTATCAGGATTCTATGTGCCAAGAGCAACCCTGGAAACGGGGATGAGACCCCCTGGATGCTACAAAATGCCCCAGAAGGAGCCCACGACACAAACCGTGATGTGACGAATTCCATCGAAAGGTGGTTCCTTTTATGCACAGGACCCCCCAAATTTTGTATGTGCGAAGAAGAATGGGGACTCAACCCGATCTTTTGGTTGCATTAGGACTCCTTAGAGTCCCTCTTCTGCGAGGGCGGCTTCCTAGAGCGTGCTACGGCTCCAGAGGCGCCCAGAGGCGGAAAGCAGAGACGAGATGGGATTGTCCTGGGGTGTTCTCTTGGCCCAACCCAAGCCCGGATTGCCTTGCGGGGGAGTTGGACATGGGAGGGAGTGTGACATCAAGCCCACAATTTGGTGTCAACGCTCGAAGAAGTTGTGGCTGGGTTCAACTCCATGGGAAAGTTGCTGGAATTTTCAATCTGAGAGACTTTTGCCCGATTTCCGTTGCTTGCCGTTTCAAAGCCACCAGCTTGAAAGCTTTGCCAATTCCCCATCTTGCCGCGCACCCATTTGCCACCACTATCTGTGATTGACCTGTGTGCGGCATTTCAGCGCACAAGGGTTCATGGTAGCGCGTCCAAAGAACCGCTGGGTGAATTTGCGAGTTTCTATTGGCGGTATGCGCGTGACCCGAGTGTTTGCTTCCCACCCAGTCGTTTTCATTTGCTATACTTTATTTTGCAACCTGCTCGCAGTTTAAACTGGAACCCAACGCTAAACACGGCTGGTTATCCTTTCGCCCAACAGAATCGCGTTCTCCTTCCAGTGCAGCAACGTTTTCCAGGTTTGTCAGCGTTGCTTTGTTTTTCCGTTCGCATCGCGAAGGGTTCTTCCATGCGGGGCCCTCCCCAGCGGGGCGCTGTGTGGACGCCAGCGAAGCACTTGCAGGGCGTGCCCAGCCAACAAGTTGGCTCCCGGGCCTTGTTCAGCGGGGGATGAAACATGCCCGCAGGCCTGGAGCTGCTTTTCAGGCAGAACTTCACTTATCAGATCCCGCTGCTGCGGTGGATGGTGCTCCATCATGACCCGGGTGAGTTCGGAGTGTGGGCGGCAGGCTAAAGTTGTTCGCAGCCCCCATGAAAAAGAGAAAAGGCAACTTAAAAGGGGGAAGTGGCCTTTGATTAGTTGGCAAAAAATGATGTCTGACCAATGGTCCTGGATTGGTTGTGCATTTGCGGACGCGGCGTCGTTCTAGGCCCTGAAGACTTCAGAAGGTGCAGCCAGTCTCGAACAAGTTATTCCGAGGCAGTCAACATCTGAAATGGCCCTCTCATTTGCGTACTTTTCCGCAGGGGAAGAGCCACCTATCCAAACAAAAGGGCTGGGACACAGTCATAATGAATGGAGGTGCATAGAGCGCAACCTGGTTCAATCCATAAAAGTGTTCTTGGTGTCTGCGTAGTTCATTCGGGCTTCGGGACAAGAAAACTCGCTAGTTTTCCCATGTCCCTATGGGGAACAATACTTTTTGATTGCGCCTCATTTGTGGCTGTGTAAAAAAAAAGCCCCCAGGGCAACCATGCATTTTGGTGCTTCCCTATTTGGTGATTCGCCCGTGCGTGTGTGTTTGTGTGCGCGCGCAACAAAGACTTCTTTGAGGTGTATTTGGAATGCTGGTCGGGCCACGGCTAGGCCTCGGATGTAATTGAACTGGGCAAAAGAATCACCTGCCTTCCCATCATTTTGCTTTTTGTCCAAAGACTCATTGGAAGCATGTGCGAACCCGGCTTCTGTCCTACCTTCTGTCCTCGCCTTCTGTCGTTGCCCTCCACTTTCGGAAATAGCTTATAGCTCAATCAGAAAGAGGGGCGTCAGCTCGCTGACAGACAACACAAACACTATTGAACATTCACCATCAGTTGCTGTTGTAGAGGGGACATGCTATACAATGGCCACATTTCCTACAGTAAAATGGACAGAGCACGAGCTGGCCACTCCTTGCCTTGCAGCTGAGAAGCTGCCTGGCAACGGTCGAACCCCATTTCTTCTGCTCAAAGTAGAGCAAGCGAATAGCAGGCGGGGAATAGAACGGTAAATTATGTGAAGGTGTATTTCGGATCGGATTCCGATCCGGAAGTTGTTGCTTCATTGTATGTTGTGTCGCACATTTTTTCCTACGGCTGATTGCTTTCATCTGAGAATGTTGCGCGATGTCCAGGCGACCGTAACTACCAATACGTTGATGATGGTGAGTGATCCTACTCATGTGTTTCATGCCCATTGCTTCATGTGCCTCATGTGCCAGCAGGTTGGCGCAACAAATCTTACTTGCGTTTCAGTTGCGCATGGAGGTTTTGGTTTGAAGACGTCTTTTGCTGGCTCCTCTCCCTATGAGGACACGCTGCACAATCTGGTGATGTGGAGGGCCATTCGGCACCAGTTCATCTTCGGTAAGAATTCTGAGGCACGGGGGCCCGTACAAGTGGCCTGGAGAGCGTGGATGTATTTGCGGCATCAACACACTTGCCGCGAAGCGACGACCATGAATCGCAAAGCCGTGTTTTCGTCAATGGCGTGCCTCCCTGTTCCATTGGATGTTTCCAACAAGGGCAATCCAAAGAGTTGGTGTGATTCCAGCCGTCCAAGCCGTGGACCAAGGGCATGGCTCAACAGTCATTGGGGCTTGGTTCATTTTTCACACTTCCTGCGTGGAGAGACGGAGACGAGGTCACAGTACTGGTTATTTCATGTTTGCAAAATAGAGATGTTGGCTGTCAAGATTTGATTGCTGGTTGCTACTGCTTCCGGATTGGTGCACCTGTCATATCATGTATCACAATATGGCATTGCTTATTGCTGTCGAGGGATCTTCAACAAGCAGGGTGGCTCCCGGTTCCATGGCCGAGTACAGAAGCGGCTCTAACTCAAAAGACTCTGAGGCCAAATGGCCCATAGCTACCGTCTGGACGCATGGCGCAAAGACTCAGAGAGGGTGGCAATGTCGTTTATCCTGCGTGTCCAACTCGCTGTGCCATGAGTTGGGAACTTGCGGCTATTGATTGATGTGTGTGTAAGCCGTGTGAAGCCAAGCCTCCGAACTGAATCAACGTGGCGAGGTAAGGTGTCCTGATGTTTCCCTTGACAGCCCACAAACAAGTGGGATATCTGAAATGCTATTGCATTTGAGGTCCACGAAATATGAACCAAATTCAAGCTTACATGTCCTTTTGTTGGAGGAAGCTGAGGTAGGCATTTCGCTGAGAGGCGATTCGAATCCGGCTCGCGTGCGGTGCAGGCGCGAAGCGGGCACATCACATGCCCCCGTCAGTTCAGCTTCGAAGCGTATCTGAGAGAACGCCTGGGGCACATCGTGGTGTGCGTGGTGGAGGTGGATAAGAACATTTGGCTCATGACGCTTAGCCTAAGGATCTACATGTTGCTTTGTTCCCCCCAAAGGATGACATGTCAATGCGGATGTCCTGAGCACATGGCAGGCTTTTGAAATCATCCCACAGTTGTGATGGTGTTAGGGGAAGGGTAGGCAGAACGGCGCCATGAACACAACAAACAACTGCATCAGATTCATCTGCAATTTGAAGGAGCCTTCACGCTAGCGAGACTTCACTCTGCAGTCGACAAAGCAACAAGCGCAAACATAGGCGAAGCAATCCACACTCCAGCCACCATCGCAACCTGTGACGGGAACGGTTTTGCCCAAATTGTTTTAAGTTAGGTGTAAGGAGTTAGGTGGATGCTAATGTCTGCAATCCCTCTTGGTTTCCTCAAGTTTCAAAGTGCCAGCTCCTTTTGCCGATCTTAGGACCTTAGTGACGTTGACTCCCTTGGTGTACTGGTGCATCCACTTGGATTTTTTCGCAGTCGGGGAGTTTTTGTGCATGAGCGCCTACTTCCTACTGGCCGCGGGCATTCTGGTGGGCTACCTACTGGAGACGGACACCTTGTGCCTCACCCCCACACTGCCGCTGGATGCGCGGAAGATACTCATACTCTTCTCTGGAACCAGCCGCGCGGAGAGATCGCCCTTGGCTTTGGGATCGATCAGCAGGTTTCTTGTAGGTTCACTGTTCGGACGGTAGACGTCACCTTTCGGTCCAAGTTCGAGTGAGTGTCCATTGGAAGGATGTTTTCCCGGGGAAATACAAGGAACGCTGTGAAGTGACCCCTGTTGCTACCAGTTTAAATGGAGGTACTGTACGTTTGAAGGTTTGTGGCTCACCGTAGAGACCGGATGGCCGGATGGTGGTTTGATGTGGTTTGCGTATAGAAGCTCCATATTACTTGATTTTTGGAAACACAACTAGAGTATGAAAGTCGGGTTGGCCACATTCCGCCCCCAAAACTTAGGTTGGAAGTCCAAATTCCACTGTTTCTGCAAGAAACACAGTATCATACCCACTTGAGCTCCATTTTCTAGGGGGAAAGAGAAAATCAGCGTTTCGCCGAGGCAAAACACTTACTTACAACAACCAGAGTTAGCAACAAGCACCCCAAACCCCAGCCCACCCAAGCTCTCCCCGCGCCTGGCTGGTAGGTGGTGACCATCACTCAGTCAGTCCCAAACATGTGCTGGTTGAGTGAGCAAGAAAAATAAAGCAACATCACATCCACCCAATCAGATAGACTCACAAGTTCACCAAAAAGAGTCGGCCCGCAATGTGCTCAAGTCAATCAAACTGTCAGATACCGCGGGTCCGTCAGAAAAGAAAAAAAACAAGAGCAATTTCAACATTTTCAGCACAGGCCGGTGTGCGAAAGCCGTGCCCGAATTGGACAAGTAGATGAGTAGTGTAACCAAGGCAAGATAGGCCATCCTGAACCGAGAGCCCTCAACAGCGCGTCCATCCAAGAGTCATAAAGCATGGAGAATGCGCGGCCGTCTATGGCACGTGTTCCAGCTACTATACAGGATGGGCCGTGCCATGTGGCCCAATTGGTTTTGAAAAGAATGCCAAAGCAATCAACCGATTATTTCCAATTCAGGGCTGGTGCTAATGTTGCTTGAGAAAAAGTATCTTGAAGAGCAGGATGTGAGCAGCATGTAAGGAACTAGTAACTTCTTACTGGTCAATAATGAATTTGAGGGATGCACTGTCTACCGACCACATTCGATTTGCCCCTCATATGTGAGTTTCTGAAAGGAGCTCGCTTCAAAGTGCCGTAGTTTTCTTTTCGCGTCCGCTTGTCCACTCGCACCAACGTCCCTACTGTTGTTGTAATTAGGGTTGCAGGATGGGCCCGTGTCACTTGACGACGTTTGTGACTTGGTTCTGATTTCTTTCCTCGCGGTCACACTGTCGCTCAAACGGGCGTACCACCCCAGTCTAAATGATTGAGTCGAGTGTGGTTGTAGAGGTCTTCAATGCAAAAAAATGAGTCATGGTCCCAGGATTATTGTGTGTCCCCCCGAGGCACCACCTAATTGAGTCATGGTCACAGGAGAGCAAAAACAAAATGTTTGCATGGTTGCTTCCTTGTAAGGAGTTTAGTATCCGGTGACCACCGGTGGTGGTTGAGGTACCTTAATCGAAAGTTCCGCGAAAGATCCGCGAAAGCCCGCGTGAAGCTGGAGCTGCCCGCGTGCATTTCGTGTACTAACGTTTTGCCACTTGCCAGCTGGAGCTGCGGAAGTGCATCTTGCGTACTAGTTTGGTACTGAACAGTTGCGACTTCCGGCCCTGCTGAAAAGTTGCGAGTTTCCCGCCGGAGCTGCAAAAGTGCATTTCGCCTACTACTCTTGTTATTACTGAGACTTTCCAGCCGGAGCTGCAGAAGTGCATTTTGCGTACCGCGTGACCGCTTGCACTGCAAAGAGTTGCGACTGTCTGACTTTGGCAGTGAAAAGTGCTGGCGATGAATCAGCGAAAGATTCGCTCAAGCAATCGTTGTTTTCGCGAAGAATGGCCGTTTTGAGACAAAGGCATTTAGAACAACCACCATATATATATATATATATATATTAATATATGCATATATATATACCCTGGGGGGTAAAAGGCTTTTAAAACAAAGGCCGTTGCATGAACATCCTTTGTTTGACTAGCTGGGGGATGGGGGCCTGGGTGGAATTCCAACTTTACATCGTCAGCAACAAGCCTTTTCCACACCAAGCTAGACTTGCGAAGGCCTCAACATGAAAGCAGCACATTTCTGCATCATCAATGGAATAATTATGGTCTTCCCGAAACATCCATTCAGCAAGACCTTTTCAAACCCAGCAGAAAACAACGCCAGCCAGGACAAATGCGAGTGGTTTTTCGCCTGCCAAATTTCACGGCGTTTCACGGTCTTTCACTGCAAAAAAAAGCGTTCACGCCAATTTCACGGTATTTTCACGCTTTTCCCTTGTCGATTTCCCATTGCTAAGCCCATGATCAATGTCTCTAGAAATCCTACAAAGTTGAAGACCTTGAGCATTGACCAGCTTCAACATGTCTACATGGTTTTCGCGAGGCTTTGGAAAGCGTACTTTTCAGCCACAAGCACTGCAAAGCCATGTGGCTACTAATGCGGCCAACACAAAACTGTCAACCCAATTAAAAGCGTCCAGCTTGCAAACAAAGGGCGTTCCCCACATTTCACGGCCGCATCCTAAAGGCCTTTCTTGAAAAGGCCCCCGAACCCCAGGGTATATATATATATATTTACATGAAATATATTGTTTTCCCCCAAGGCACCTATATGCTCATGAAGCATTACGACGTGAACTCCACGGTGAACGCGGAGCTCAAGTTCGGCGCGCCGGGCCTGCAGGGCCTGGAGCGGGAGAAGGCACCGGGGGAATCGGAGGGGAGGGGGCCAGGCGGGGACCGCACCCGCTGCTGAATCCCCGGCAAAGCCGGGGAAGACGCGAAGATCCGCTGATATTTTCCGTGTTGCTTTCACTACTCAATCTGCAAAGCTGGTAGGTTTGCCATGTTGGGAGTAGTTGACAGTGTTATGCTCACAAACCAGTTTGGAGGTTGCAACACAATCTCTCACATGGGATGTGACCTGCTTGCTTGTTTGGAAGAAAGAAGCTCGAGTATTTTCAAGTTTGACTACGCGTTGCAGGCTTGGGAATTCCAGGTGTGTTTGCTTCTGATGAAATTCCTCACTGGGTTTCTGGTGTGAAGGACTCGTCGGGTTTTGGCTGCGAATATGGCCCGTTCCAATCGAAAGCAGACTTGTCCCTTACTTTTGCGAAGGAAAAACGACACAAGCGGTGTTCATGTTTAATCTGGAAGACCAGATGATGCATCTGTGGCCCTAATGTGTTTTGTAGAGCAATCTAATGTGCATCTATCTAAATATTCTAGAGGTTGTTTCCCCATTCTTTTCAATTCTTTTCTAAAACCGATTGCTGTTTCTCGTGGGTTTTTGAGGGTTTCCTGAAAACAAGGATGTTTGGACAGAACGTTCCCTGGACAGTTGGTTTCCAACCATCCAGCGGGCCATGAGACCGTCCATGTCCCCCTACCAAACTCGACTGCCATTGGGTTGGATCTCTAGACTTCAACCTTTGGGGGAATGACGGGTTTTCCTGAACAAGCACGAAACCTTTTTCACTTTTTGCAGAGGGATCAACAGCAACCCAAGATCAAAAACCCAGGCCATCCTTGAAATCTGAAGCTCCCCCTACCTGGAGTCTCCATGACCCTTCAAAAATAGGTCCATGACCCCATTATTTAGGGTAATGGACCCCATGTTTAAAGGGTCATGGAGAATTTAGGGACACACAAAAATATGATTTTCGCAGCTCCATCAATTGAACCCAGCCGGTAGAAAATCTGGAGCTTGCAGCTTAGGTGGAGCTTGGCCGAGCCCCGCTCACTGACTTGAAGCGCTTGAGCCTGACCTCGGAAAGGCGGGGTTCGCATGGGAGAGGCAAGCGAGAAGCGGCGGAGGTTTGGGGGAGTTGATGTGTGTGTTTTCCCTTGAAACATGAGAAGTGTTGCGGAGAACTGCTGGTTTGGGGGAATCTCATGAAACAGGAGAAGGGTTGCGGATAATTGCTGGTTTTAGGGGGAATCTCACTTAATTTAGATGCCAAGGCAAGGTTCTTGAAGTCATAAGCTCGTCGTGAATGGGTGGCAATTTCACTTTGGCGTCGCAGAGGTGTTTTTCCACAGACATGAATCGAACATGATCGGGGTGCCCCGTTTTTGACATGCCTCACACGGAGCCTGGCAGGGACATTCCTCCGAGAAGCTTGTGTTGCTTACCCTTGGAATGACTCCCCTGCAAATTGACATGGAACCCAAAAAGAGGTTCCCCAAAAAGGAGATTCCTCTACCAACTTAGGGTTCCATGTAAATCTGCAGGAGTGGTGCGTGTGAGGCTGCGCGTAACCGGTCCCTTATGACCCTGTCAAGTTGCAAGGCACAGCGGTGTTGACTGTCCGTTGCCTGGCTCACTGGACTCGACGAGGAAGACATTCGTCAATTCTGACTGACGAGCAGGGCTTTCTTTGTGTGATTTTTGTCTTTTGATGGCACCTTCAAATGGCACACCAGAAGGCATGCATGTTTTGGGCACAGGACGCGTGCGCAGCACTTTCAACAAAGGGTAAACGAACCACTGAATTATGAAGCTGTCCTGCACATTGTCCATTTGCAGATCAAAATCCGAATTTTGGCGAGTCACCGGGCGAATGATGCAAGCTCAAACAGCATAAGCCCAGTCCCAGAAAAAAAGAAGTTCCAATCGCTCCCAGGTGTCATGTTTGGCAGTGATCTGACTCCAACTTCCTTTGGGCCCAAGCCACAAAAGGCTGGTTGTCGGGAAAAGAGCTTCTTCTGGCCACTTTCTACAATGGGTGCCAAGTGACATAGGCGCGATACAAATGGCCTGCTTTCACATCACAGAATGGAGCCGTGTTGCATCCAACTCTTAGGTTCCTTTCAGTTTTTGCCTTCCTTGGGCCAGACGCGAGCCGCAGACTTTTCAAGCGCGCAGGTACGCCTTTATCTTCGAGCTCTTGGCCTTCTGGCAAGCCATCCAGGCGCTGACACGCGCGTCAAATCAGGTTTGGCGCAGGTCCTGCAGGTGCCATCCCAAACCTGGCGGCTGTTTGGCCTTTGCCACCCTTGATGTCTTTCGGGGTTCATGGTAGGGCTTTGCTTGACAGACCTCATTTGCGGTTGGAGTCGTACTAAGCGACCAGCAAAGCGAGAGCCTGTCCGACAATTTTTTGGGGCCAGGAAAGGTTTGCGGGTCATTATGTCAAGCCTGGCTGGCCCAACTGGCTGATCTGGTTTCTCGGTTGCTTGGCAAAGCGTTCTTATCCGTGTTGCCCGGCTCATCTTGATTCACATGGACCCTTGGGTCCCTAAATGGGTCCATTTGTTTTGTTCCTGCTTGATCCACTCTTGTTCCTTTAAGATAGGTTCTTGATCTTTGACACGTACATCTTTCCTCATCCGCAGAGTGAACCACCCAGCACCCGTCCAAAAGGCTGCCTGGTTTCCTTTCGGTTCGTTTCCAAAAGCATCTTGCAAGCCGGGCGGCAACCATCCTGAAGGTGGGAAATTACGAATCACTCGTTGTCAGGCGAACGATCCGCAATTCGGAAAACACTTTCACTTTGTCACATTACCTGTTTGGACTCATCCAGCAGGTGGGAAACCACGAATCAAATCGTGGATTGGAGAGGTGGATCCCAGAGAAGAAGAACGCACACACCTAGCGTCACAGAGGTGACTTGCAAGTGTTCGGCAAGCTGAATCGTCGGTCCGAGTCGTTGGCTCTTTGGCAGTTCCTTTGGCGCAGAGGTGACCTGCTTGGTGCTCTTCTACTTGAGCGTTTCACTGGAGGACTGGTGGGAGATCCTCTTCTACGCGCTCGCCTGGGCGGAGTGGCCCTTGATGCTCTTTGGAGCCCCTCGGGCGAATGTTCGAAGCGGAAGCCAAGGCGTCCTTTACTTGGGGCTCAGAACATATGTTTGATTTTAGGATTAACAAACTACAAAGCATCATGTTGCCAAATATGTGTTTTTCGTTAGGCCAATTGTTTGGCACGGAGGTGCCAACATGGAATGACACTTTGACACAAAATGCCTTTGTTGCCGGGTACCTCGCACAAGGATGGCTGCTGTGATAGAATTTGCTTGTTGTGTCTGGGCAAGCTCCACTGCTTGCGCGGGGTAATTATACGATGTCAACTTCGAAAGCTGGCCAAACGGCTGCCCCAAAGCCTCCATCGCCATACTGCCACCTGCAGTGTAAGCTTCAGATGACCCGAAGGGGCATATTAAGTGAGAGGCTGGATGATTCCCTGACCACCGAATGTCAACTTCGGCCTACGAGGCATCCATTTTGGGGGGGGGAATGGCCCGTTTTTGTTGGAGGACAGTTTTTTTTGGGGGGGAGGGAGAATCGACTCGAGGTGATGCCGGTCTTGTTGGAGCGGCTCACCATTCGCAGCTCCATCGGGGACGAGACAGACGAGAACTTGGTGCGGGCGGTGTCTCTGGAGACCAAGGCCATGTTGCTGAGGCCTGGCGCGCTTCTCTTTGTGGAAATGCTTTTCAGGAGGCGAGTCGCGAGTGTTTCTTGGAACCCCCCAAGCGTTGATTTGTGGAAAGAAAGAAAACACATCATTTCGGGAGTTCCCCCTTTTTAATTTAAGACCCACCAACGCCGGGATTACAAAACAACCAGAATGGTCGCTTTACGAAACCCAAAAGGGCAAACACAGAGGTTACAACCATTGTAGCAATGCACTCACATACATCACACACACGCACTTGCACATCGGTTTTGCAGATGACGTGAGCCATGGGATGCGTCAGGTACCACGTCCGCTTGGCTCAGCTGATGGGCTATGAGCGCCGCGTCAAGGTACAGAACCTCTCGGAGGAGCATCAAATTGAGAGGCGGGACGGAAGTCCTTCGAGGCCTTAAACTCCGCGCGGTTTATGGGATTGCAATCAGACCCAGCACCATCTTGATAGAGCCAGACTCCAACAGTTGGTTTGCGGGGAGAATACCTCATGGAAGCCAACTGGGGCATCCCCCCAGATCAAGCCAGTGTTGTGTTGTTTATTAGGACGGCAATGGGAGCCCAGGATCAACTATGAAGTGATTGATCCATAAAGGGGGGAATCACATTTAGGAGGGGATCCCTAACGTATTTTAGAGGAAGCACCCCCTAGTAATCCACCGGACTTTGTGGCTTTGACAGCGGCAGACATCGACCTTTGTGATGTTCGTTTGGCATGTCATGGATTTTACAAGCATCGTCACTGTGCAAACGTAGCATTCACCAGCACTCGATTCAAGGGGCAGGCTGCGACCGAACACAGCTTGTCGTGTTGACGCACTTGTGTCAGGTAAGAACAAACCAGAAATGAGCTTGCGAAGAAAGCGTCGTGCGTGTTGCCGCACCGGGCCCTTGGCGGCTTGGCGTTGCGTGTCGTGTGGGTTCTCCAGCACCTCGATTGCAACCAAGCAGGCGTTCAGACAACTCATTGATCCATCCTCCGTTTATAAGACAATGGCAGGTCTGCGACCAGTCAGTTGGCTGCCAACCAGCCAGCCAGTTAGTCACTCAGTGACGTTGTAAGCTCGGGGCCCAAGTTTCTGGGCCGTATGTGTTTTTTCTTTCTTTTTTTGAATGATTATTTGTTTGTGGAAGGCCAGTTTAGATTTTGGGTGAGCAAAAGGAGTGAACTTTTTTGGCCAAGCCACTGAGGAATACCTGAATTGTTTGAGTGTGTTGCACGGATGCCAAGCAGCCAATTGTTCGACCATGGTTGCCTTATGCCTGGTTTGCTACGCCTTTGCGAAATGAAGCACACCTTGTCAGACCCCTTTGAAAGACAGAACCAAGAGGAACCCAGGATCAGGCCTGAAAAGAAATGAATGCCCTTATCGTTTTGCTTTAGCGTAGGCTTGTCCAAACTCAGCTTGGCACCTTGCGTCGCCAGGCAAGCTACGGAGCCTGTGCTTCCATCGGAGGTGCAGGAAGAGGGCCACGAGGCGTTTGCGCATCGCCCAGATGTGGGCAATGGGAGGGGTCTTATCGGCTGTTGACAGCCCTTCAATTGCTGGGTAAGAGGGGTAAATTAGAAAATTCTGGCGTGACGCTCTGCTTGAATTTCAAACGTTGCTTCTTCCAATTGTCCAAGGCGCTTTTGGTCCCCGGTTTTTTTTCTCTGCATGGCCCCTCAAAGCCGATCTGCCATCCTGTCTCTAGACCACTGAGTTGGGAGTCTCAATGCCAGCGCTTGCCCCGAAGTACGCAGGATCAACTGCCGCACTCCACCGGCTGGAATTTCCATAGGCGAAAGTGTCCCGCCTCCCAGAGACACAGCTGATAAGTCTTCGGGGTCCAATTCATGCCGGTCAAATGGCTGGTTGCGTAAGTTCCCACCGGATCCCCAAAGATTGGTGCACATTTCGGAACTGAACCGTTGGAAACGCTACCAAGGGCCTCTTTTAATTATGACAGTTTCAAAGTACCCCACAGCCTAAGCCCACCAGCAGCACCTTCTCACTTCCTGAGTTCTTGAACTTCAAACTTTTGGGTCTGGACCATTTTAGTGGTAAGCAACAAGTTCGGACGTTTTTTTGACCGGCCCACTCGGGAAGTGAGCATTACAGCACAGAGGTGCATGTTGCCAAGGGATGTTAGGACTTTAACTTTTTGCTGACTAGTTGGTTTTCCATCAAGCCACTGAAAGTTAAACTTTTAGCAGGGGAGCGGAAAGCAACCAAGAGCCTGCAACACGTCCCAACAGTCTCCCGTTTCTCGCCGGCCAGAAGACCCCTGAGCTGAAGGCCAAGCCGGGCAAGCGCCTGCGCTCTGCAGTGCGTAAGGTGCAGCTTTTTACGCGGCCGCGGCCTCGGTTCTGTGAAGCTCGGGTTTCCTGGGTGGTTGGGAAATTAGGAAAGCATTGCGTTTGCTTACACTTGAGTTGGGGTGGAGATGTTGTTTGTTTTTGGGAGGTGGTACTGTTACGACTTCTGAGGCTGCTTCAAAGGTTTTTTTACACACATGGTTGAAAGGGTTTGCAAATATGCTTTGAAGGGGAACCAAAAGGAAAGCCCTTGCGTTTGGGTCACGGTCCAAATCCCTATGTTGGCACATAAATGTCCTGATGCGTTGCGTGGGTCCGTTCGGGAGGTTGATGGTGATTCCCCCCTTTCCGGCACTGTGTGAGGACTTGAAGGGAGTTTAGTGGTAAATGTTTGCGGCAGTGCTTGGGTTCAAGGTTAAACCATGCCAGATTGCAGGAAGGAGGTAGTCCGGGTTTTGAAGGAATATCCGGGATCCAAAGCAAAGACACCCACGTGTTCAAGAAGGTTGCTGTTTGTTGCTTCTATGTGGTTGCAAAGATGTCCTTTGGAGACTTCCAAAGTGTCAAGTTTTCAGCCTCGAGGTTAGCTTGGACATACCTCGGGTCAATGAAGATTGATTTTGGGACTCCCTTCTTGGGTGTTGTGGGCCTTGATGCCGCGCGCACGGTCTCCATCCCGATCGGGTGCTTTCCATCTAGGCCCACTCTTCTCTGCTGTGGAACCTGAAACTATATCCCTCTGAAGAGAGATTTTTTGTCAAGTCCCGTGTCGGCAAGCGGCATCCAAGCCAATTGTGTTGTTGAATGCCTGCGATGCTTGATGAATTGGTGTCCGGTGTCATGCTTGGATTGGGTGTTTCTAATTTTGTCACAGACTTGGAGTTCACATCTTGGAGGTCTAAAGGAGTGAGTCAACTTGCCTGGGCTTGCCCAGGCTTCGCCCAGTCGCGCATGTCGCGGTCGGGCCGGTGGGCATCCTGAGGCTGACCCAGTCCAAGCAGCGTTCCCAGCAAGCCTGGCAGCGAGGCTTGCGCCTCTTCCGGGCTTTGCCCTACAGCCCCGGGTCTTAATCGGGATTCGGCAGCGCCTTTGCAAGCGTCAAGATGGACTATTTCCGGAGGTGTTTGATGCCGGGCGAAGCGAGACTGCTGTAAGTGAGAAAGTAAGAAAAGGATCCCATTGTTCTGCTCATTGCCAGGCTTTTGTGTGTGTGAGAGTATTGATCTGTGTTGACCTGTTCCCTGGCTTTTCAAAGCGACGACGCCATAGCAGCCAAGGGTGGAAGCCCAATTTGGGTGCGCTAGACAGCCACATGTCAAGGTATGATCCTGCTGGAATGAGAGCGGCTATGTTGTTTGCTTGTCATTGCTTGAACATGCGGCGCAGCTCTTTGATAGGGTGCTTGGCTGGGCTTTGATTCAGCCAGAATTCGGCCCGCCTACAAACAGTTTGTTCAGCGACAGCTAAGGCAGATCCGGAAGTTGTTAGACATGTCTTCCAGGCTTCCAGGCTTCCAGGCTTTCCATATGGCTCTTGCGCAGATTGACACGGAACCCCAAAATCGCTGGGCGAACATTGTGCCTTTTTCAATCAACTCAAAAAGGACGAGCCTCCAAAGAACTAAACCCAATAACTATAGTTCGGTCAAAATGGTCACATGCACAACCAGGTCGGCACATGCCGGCTGCGAAACGTCTTGCAAACCAGAAATCCGGCGCTGGCATTTCAATCTGAGGCGAGCAGCACGAGATTGAGCAGATCTTTTCCAGCCTCGACATCAACAACAACGAGGAGGCGACCTTGTGCAAGACGCGCAAGACGCGCGTCTCGTGTCCCTCCCGGTTGCCCAGTGGGTTGCTTCCTTCTTTCGACTTTTTTTGGAGAAAGGCTCTCTTCAAAGTAAACCAGCCAAAGAAGGATGCCCTTTTCTCGCTATGGCCACTGGGCATCTCGTGTCCCTAAACCAAACTGCGTGAGGGGATTGAACAGTTTCGCCAGGGATGCTTGTTGAAAAGAGGGATGCGTGCGTGTATGGGGCGATGGGTTTCATCTAAGATCGCTGCAACTCGGTCATCAATGCCTGTTGGCCCTTCTGGAAACGGGTCACTGGCATTCAAGTTGTTTGGGTGTGCATTTTCATGGCATATGTTTAGTGTCTTTTTGAGGTGAGAGGCTGAGCCAAAGAAGAACCACCTTCGTTGGCAAGGTTCCCTATTCTGATTCCGGGTTCTGAATGGCACGTATTAATTTCCCCGAAGGACACTAACGTGAGATGTGCTGTTCTATGTTTGCGGACCCTTTTGCGCCCTCGGAGACAAGCCCGTTTGCTGCTTGTAGGTGATGCTGCACGATTTGGCGGCCCATTGGAAGGCCAGCTCGCTCGTGCAAATAGACTTATTCGCCCACCAGCAGCAGCATGATTAGCATTTGATTGGCAAGCTGCGCTTTGCGTGTATATATATATATATATATATATATCCATTGTGTATTTATATATATATATATATGTACACATATGTATATATGTGAGAGTCGTCCGAAAGGTCCTTGTATTGAGATATGAAGGGGAAGACCTTTTGGTCTCAGCGTTGACCTCCGCGAAGGGGGTCGCGAAAGTTTTTGTTTGTTTTTGTTTGCGAAGTTTTGTGCAAGGGTGTCTTGCCAACTGGAAGCTGCAATGTCGAACCACGTGTATTTGCCGGCAGTGCGCGCATGCACGTCGAGTGAAGCTGGTGGCCTGAGGGTTGCCGCGAGAATACGTCGCTGCAAAAGCAACCCCTAGCAGGAATCAGCATATTCACATTATAAATAGTCAGGAAAATGTATACATATATATATATATATGTACACAGATACATGAACATACGTGTGTGCATGTATGACTTGCGCTGGTGCGCCCCCTCATGGATCTAAAGGGTCCTTCGGAAAGCGAGCCGGCAATTCACGTGAGTTAGTGGTTTTTTCTTTTCTTTTTTTTTATTTTCTGTGTGCAGGACTGGGAAACCGATATGTTGGACTGGCATGGTTGTCCATGGTTTTGGAACACGCAAGGCCTTCGTATTTTTGAGGATTCTGAACAAGTTACACTATGTGTCTTGGCTTTGACAATCATGATTGTGAAGCCAGACATGGGATCATTATTGTCATCAGCTTGGTCCCCATTTGTTCTACACGCATTTCCCCGGAGTTCCCATGACTAGCCTTGGTGCTAAAAGTTTTCGCATGTCTTTCGAGCGTGTGCTGCGATTCCTATAAATGATTGGACTTCCAGTAAACATCCTTCTCTGCAGCAAGCATGATTTTGGCATGTGTTGGGGTTCCGGGTTCCATAGTTTCATGAACATGCTGTGGTTTTTGGCATCTGGAAGCACTGGAATTTACGTTCTTTGCTTCTCAAGCAAAAAACTATGTGTGAGCTTTTCTTAGGAATCACCCAAATCGCGATTTGTTCTGCGACCTTTGGCCATTGTGCAGCAGTTCATTCCAAATGTTGGCTTGTGTCCTCCGCGATGTATTGTGCCATTCTGAGGCCATGTCATGTAGTTTGATCCATATCCGAGCTTCTGGTTTCAACGCGTGTGCCATGCGCATGTTGAGGAATGGCTTCTGTAAACGCCCCTATCTTCTTTTGGAAATTGTCCTCACACTGTTGCAGGAAAGCCGCCCACATCCTAGCTGCGAACCACCAATAAATCTTTGCAACAAGAGACAAAGCTTAGCTTCCAATTTGCACTCATGTTGCGGCAGTGTTTTTCCCCGCCCCAGCTTTTTGCCTTTTACTCCTGGCAGTTGGGCAAGAAAGCCATTTTCCTTAAAGCAAGCTGCGGCAATGATCGCAGTGTTGGAGGACATTGTCCCGAATCCTGTTTTTTTCTCTCTAAAAGCGTGGTTTGAGAGCTGAATGCACGAATGGTGGTTCTCCGCCCTAGTTTGATTTCTCAAGGATTAGTCTTGCGAGGTCTTGACCACGATTCAAGATTTATTTGCACCCCCTAGCTTTGGCTCTGTAAACACACTGCCGGCAGTTCGCCATTCACTTCTTCTCGGGCCCCCAGCACGTTTCGTCCAAACCATTCAGCGAAGATAAGTCTTGGAATGTTCCAAGGCATGAGGCTTGAAGATGTGAACAACATGTGGTGTTAATGTTCAATGTCTGCTGTGCGTTGGACAGTGTGGGAAGTGCAAAGCAATGCAAAGCACATCAGTTTGAATGCCCGCGGAGTGTGCTGGAAAGATAATCCCTATGGGTTGTGTAAGACTTTCCTCCCGAACCTCCCCTCGCACGCGCCTCACTGCCGATGGGGAATGCGTTTGGGGCGGCTGAACCGTCGTGATTCATCCTGACTGAAGCTATCCAGGGCCTCGCTAGGTTAGCGACGCTGGACTTGAAGGAGTTACCCAGTTCGTTGGTTGTGGTGAATTCGACCATTGCTTAGGTCATGTGTCCAAAATCCTGCCTGCGCGAACCACTGGATGAGGGGGTTGCAATCATATATTCAATCTATGCGTGCCGACAAATGTACAATCAACATGGTCAAGGGCTGCGCCCCGCACCAGCTGCGACCTTACCCAAGACGCAAAATCCGGAGTTTCTGCATCACACCCGCATCACCAGCATAAATGCCATTTTCCCAATCGATTGCAACCACGCGCAGCGAGAGCTCAAAATACATCCACGTGCCGCAAAACCACGCGTGTAGCGGAAAGATTGACCTTGGCGGCTTGAGCAACACCGCCAGCATTGCCACTGGCCGAGTGAACCCCAAAAATGGACATGGACAGGTTTTGAGCCGACAAGAAAAAGGTCCTAGTGCACTTTTGACTCGCAGCAGCGGCATTCGCAGCATCGCCAAACCGCCCCAAACCGCCACGCCGCCAGCATTGCAGGAATCAAACCACAAAGGACAAGACCAACCAAAAGAACAGGTCTCGGAATGCCTAGACACGCAACCTTAAATGGCCCACGGATGGCCCCTGTTTGGCTTTTGGAGAAGGACTGCCCGCAATTGCTGCCAAGGGGGCCACCCGAACTGTCCAGCTAAAGGTAGCGGCTCTTTGAGCTTTTGAAAAAAGATCACGAATCACCCCTAGAAGGGGCTCCCTGTTTCTCCTACTCCTCAAATTGGCATGGATCCGAAAACCACGGTCCCTCGAAACTATTTGTGTGGCTTTGTGTGCTTTTTCGAGGGTTTTCTGGGTTGGCAAACAAGGCAAGCCAAAAAAGAACATCTTAAACGCCTTTTGTGTTGGGTCGCCCTATGTTGAGAAATGCCCCATGCGGTCGCCGCTCGCATCGTCGCGACTCGTTGCGTGAGGCTATGGGCTTCACCAACGCCCAGGACTCGGCCGAGGAGCTGCTGTCGAGCATCGACTATGACGGCGCGGGGCGACCAATGGAGTTCTTCGTGGTCGTCCATTTGCTTAAGTTATAACACATATATATATATATAGTTTCTCCTGTTGGTTTTGAAGGGAAGCTATCACTACTGGAATGTTTTTAAAATAAAATGTTCCAGGGGTCTTGACCAAATGGAAGTAGTTGTTGACATGCCAAGTCTTTCTGGCATGCAAGCACCCCTTGGTTGGTCTGTGGATGCTTACTCATGACTTCCAAGTCCGTATACTGAAGAGACCCTTTCAAAAGGTGCGGATTCTGGAGCTTGCAAAACCTACCTGTTCCATACCTTCGGGTCACCGCGGAACGATACCTGCCAGAAAGTTTAGCCCACGAAAACTGCGAGCTGGGGTTCTGCGTGATAGCGTTGACAATATCAATGCGTCAAGGCCAGTTTTCTCAACCTGTGGCAAAATCCCTTTCCTGCATCTATTGGGATCACGGCGTATTGGCTGAGGTGGAAGCTATATTTGTTCTGTGTGAGCGCATGGCACCTTCTCAGATTAAAAGCCGGACTCGTTGTCGGACGAAGACGAAGCCTGTTCAATGGGGATTTTTCTCAGAAAGCTGGCGTTGTTGGCGAATGTCAGCTGAGGCAGCGTCAGCCGGGGACCCGACACACCACTCACCACTCACCTCGCATCAAACTCTTCAACTCGGGTAGATCTTGGGTTGAACCATTCTGCGCCACACAAAGAGCAGAAGCCTAAGTTTCTCAGTCACCCAGGCGCGCACCTCAACGACGGCAAATCAAGGTGGCTCCACAAGTCGGTCACCCATAGTTGGCCAAGCATTGGGCAAGGACTCCACTTTTCAACACCTATTGTTAGGGTTGTTAGATTGGTTGAGCCTTAGGTCACCTGCGTGGCTTGCCATTTAGCTGGTCGCAGGCAGCAAGCAGCTCACCTGGAGCAAGTTCCAGGCGGTGGCCGCGTTGGTCGGGAACCTCAAAGAGCTTCTCAAGTCTGAGCACAGGGCTTACATCATTAGACTGGGGGGGCGGCGTGAATTACGTCACGTTGATAAATAAATCATGTGTCTTGTCTGGCTTCTTAATTATGTTGCTAGTGGCAGCAGCAATGTTTCCCAGCGGCCATCACTGGGAGTTGAACGTCAGCCTTTTTTTTTGCGCTGGTGTGATGGCAGGATGTGGCAAGCTGCATAGCAACTGGTTAAGTGGGTCAAGCACTTGAGGGACATGGAACGCATGCCTTTCCTGCTGCTGTTTTTGACGTTGACATTAGCGTGTTTGTGTGTCTTTATTTGCTTGGCTACTTATGTATTAATGTATGCATTTATTTGTTGTTCATTTATTGTATTTATCGATTTGTTGATTCTTTCATTTTTGTTGATAAACTTGCGTGCTTTTGGTTGTTAATCCCTTCCCCCTAATAATAAACGACGCCCCCCCCCCCCTCCCTAATAAAAAAAATACCCGGCCTGCAAAACAATTTTTATTATTAGGGGTCCCCTGGTTCTGGAGGGCAGGTTTTGGAGGTACTTCTTGTTCTGTGTAGGCTTGTTTGCAACTGTGGTCCCCCTGTTCCGTTCCGTAAAATCGCTTCAAACGCACATTTCTGAGTAAGGAATTTAAGTAGCGGGAGTTGAGGCCACGTTTTGTTGTTTTTGGTTGTGGGTTTTGGGTAAACGTGTTCCCGGAGCTCTGGCTTGAAAGTCGCAACGTTGTAGTACAGCCGTGTAAAGGAAACGTGCTCCCGGAGCTCAGGCTCGAAAGTCGCAACTTTGTAGTACAGCCGTAGTAAAGGAAACGTGCTCCCGGAGCTCTGGCTCGAAAGTCGCAACTTTGTAGTACAGCCGTAGTAAAGGAAACGTGCTCCCGGAGCTCTGGCTCGAAAGTCGCAACTTTGTAGTACAGCCGTAGTAAAGGAAACGTGCTCCCGGAGCTCTGGCCTGAAAGTCGCAACTTTGTAGTACAGCCGTAGTAATTAAAGGAAACGTGCCCCCGGGGTCCCCCTAATGGGGCTGGATTTGAGTACGGGCAGGAAAATATCTACTTTAGAATTGGTTTAGTATTGGCTATTCTAAAAGTAGTATTCCCGGATTTGGGACTTCCGAAACAAATATTTATTATTAGGGAGACCTTTATTAATAGGGGGAAGTGATTAGTTTCTTTGTTGGTTTGTCTGTTTGTGTGCCTGCCTGCCTGCCTGCCTCTCTGTTTGTCTGTCTCTCTCTCTCTCTCTCTCTCTATCTCTCTGCTTGTTGCTGGTGTTTGTTTGTTTGTTTGTTTGCTTGTTTGCTTGTTTGCGTGTTTGTGATTGATTGTTTGTGTTTTGGTCGTGCTTTTGCTGTTGCATTTGTTTGCTTTCTTGTTGGTTGATTTGTTTTTATTGCGCTTTTTGTATTTGATTGTGTGCTTGCGTGATTGGTTGCTTGTCTTTTTGTTTGCTTGGTTGGTTGGTTGTTTGCATGCTTATCTGTTTGTTTGCTTGTTTGCTTGTTTGTTTGTTTGTTTGTTCGTTTGTGTGTGTTTGTTGTTGGGAGCTTGCTTTGCTTTGCTTGCCTGCGTTGCTTTTATTTGCCTTTCATTGCAATGCTTGCTTGCCTGCTTGCTTGCTTGCTTGCTTGCTTGCTTGCTTGCTTGCTTGCTTGTGTTTTGTTCTTTGTATGCTTGCTTGCGTGTTTGCTTGTTTGCTGGTGCGTTTTCTTTTTTGCATCTTGTTTTTTTGTTTTTTTGTGTGTGTGTGCTTGTTTGTTGTTTTTCTGCCTTTTGGTATTTCTTTGCTTGGTTGCTTGCTTGCTTGCTTGTTTTGTGTGTGTTCTTTGTTTGTATGTATGCTTGCTTGCTTGCTTGCTTGCTTGCTTGCTTGCTTGCTTGCTTGCTTGCTTGCTTGCTTGCTTGCTTGCTTGCTTGCTTGCTTGCTTGCTTGCTTGCTTGCTTGCTTGTATTTTGTTCTTTGTTTGTATGCTTGCTTGCGTGTTTGCTTGTTTGCTGGTGTGTTTTCTTTTTTGCATGTTGTTTTTTGTCTTTTGTGTTCTTGTTTGTTGTGTTTCTGCCTTTTGTTATTTATTTGCTTGGTTGCTTGTTTTGTCGTTTGTGTGTTTGGTTGGTTGGTTGGTTGTTTGCTTGTTTGCTTGTTTGCTTGCTTGTTTGTTTGTTTGTTGGTTTGTATTGCTTGCTCGCTCGCTCGCTTGCTTGCTTGCTTGCTTGCCTGCCTGCTTGCTTGCTTGCTTGCTTGCTTGTTGCAGGTTTGTTTGTTTGTTTGTTTGTTTGTTTGTTTGTTTGCGTGTGTGTCTCTTGGTTTGTTTGGTTGGTTTCGTTGCTTTCTTGCTTGCATGTTGGTTTTTGTTTGCGTGTGTTGTGTTTGTCCGTTTTGTTATTGATTGTGTTGTGTGCTTTTGTTTTGTGTTTGTTTTGCTGTTGTGTGTTGATTTGAATTGTTTGCGTTGCTTGTTGGGTGCGTGTTTGCTCCGTTTTGGAGGGCTGACTTGGGCTTGCTTGGCTTCGTGTTTGCTAAGCATGATATGGGATTACCAATCTTTGACAGGGTTTGGCCAGTTTCCCAGCGAGAATGATCACTCTGTTGTTGGGGAGTTTCTGATTTTGATTGCAGTCCGGTGGAATGTGTCCAAGATGAGGGGCTTCCAAATGCGTCCGTCAAAGCTGATATCATGTATAAAAGGTGAGCAGCAACAAGTGAATGCGTTTCCAGTGCTCATGTTTGAACCAGCGCGGCATCACCAATGCTATTCGCTGTAGCTACTTCGCTATGGGTTTTGTATACGTCCCACATGTCTTCTCGCTTGTCGCCGAGGCCATCTCTGGGAAGGGGCCTTGCCGGCTGGGTTGCGGTTGGTCGGGCTCGGAAAATGGTGTCAAACGGGATTTCGACCCTGGTAGCTCTCTGTCTGCGCCGCCCTCAAAGGGGGTGCCTCAAATTGCGCGGGGCGTTATCAACTCCCCAAGCTATAGCCATGGTTCCAAACCAGGTGACCTCATCACATCATGAGCTTTGCAAGTTACACGACTTGCTGCTATAGTTCACAAAATGTGTACAGAGTACAATACCGCAATCCTTGCTATGAGCCCCCACGGTCGACCACAATTGGCTCCGAGGTGTTATTGCTGTCCGACTGAGTTGCCGCCAAAGCAGTTGTGTAGCCCCCAAGAGCAAACTGCTGAGACCAAGGCTGCAGCGACCCTTCAGCCAAAGAAGGTGCCTCCTTGAACTGGATCATTCTGAGCCACCGTTCCTTGACATTGCAAAGGGGCCCCCCAACAAGAATTTTGGAACTTGGGCGCTAGAAGCAAATCCCCACCGAACACAACACGTTTTTGGGGTACCCAGACGCCTCAGAATGCAACGCGCCAAGTGTTCGTCAACCGAGCGCTAACTGGGGATGTTTCGCGTGTTTTGGCTTTTGGTTGGCTGAGCAGACTTGCCGCCGCCCTGTTGAGTGCTTCCTGCCCCTCTTGGTTATCTCAGTCCGCTTTTGTAGCCTCTGCAGCTGATCCATGCACAAAGACAAGCGCGGCCGTGGCAAAAGGTGATACATCGTAGCTGTGCTGACGCTCATTGGACTATATCAAGGGTAGGGCATGGATGATGCGTCCACATACGAAGATAGTTAAGTTCATGTAAGCCCAATTTATTTTGGGGGGTTCTTTTTGGGGAAGGGGGGCATAACAAGGCCAAGACGCATGTTCCATCTGAGCAACGGACATGATTCACAGCGTGTCAGCTTTGGCTGGCCCCTGTCAGTTTCGCTGGTTGACGGGTATCGGCTTCCCCGGCTGCTGGTGGCAATCTTGTCAGTTGCTGTGAGTGAAGCTTGCCAGGGTTACTCTTCACGATGATTACGGGCTGCTCTTTGGCCTTATCGACCGCAAGAAGAGCGGAAGGACAGCATTGCACCACATCGAAGCAAGTTTTGAAACTCACCCACTCCAAAAGTCAACGATTTTGACTGGCCGCCCGCCCCAAAATGGCACGGAGTAACGCAATCCCGTGGTGGGGGAGGATTTTTGTGGGGTCATTTCCAGATCAAGTTGCTTTGCGTCGCTTTTTTTGATCTCATCACCGGCCCAAGGGCCTCGGCGGATTCCAGGCGATAGGCTCGGATTCAGACTCTTTTCATGGTCGAAAGATCAGTTGACATCATGCCTTCTTTTCTAGCCAATCTTTTGGATGCTAGGTGGCACGAAGTGAAGTCGGCATAGCGTTCAACGGTTGAAACCACCTTGACGAAGGTGGTTGGGAGGTGCGCAAAAAATTGACCAGGCAAAACTAAGGGCTCGGGCTTTCCTGATGGTTCTCTTGTTGCAAGTTTCTGAGATCCATTGACATCGTTGCACGCAGGATCACGGTCTTCGAGATCGCCAGCTGGTTGGAAGAGATGAAGAGCGGCCCTGCTGGCTTGGTTTTGGCGTGCCATCAGGGCTGAATTTCTTTGCATTCCTTTCAGCATTGAAATTGCCAGGGTAAGTGTGCCTCTCTTTGTTCCCGAAAGCATGGCGAAGGGTTCTTCTGTTGGATTCATGGGAGTTATCATCATGAGAGTCATTGCAAAGAGTTATCAATCATCATCAGAGTCATTGCACAGAGTCATCATCATCATCATCATCATGAGAGTCATTGCAAAGAGTTATCATCATCAGAGTCACTGCACAGAGTCATCATCATCATGAGAGTCATTGCAAAGAGTTATCATCATTGCACAGAGTCATCATCATCAGAGTGATTGCAAAGAGTCATCATCATCATGAGAGTCATTGCGCAGAGTTATCATCATCAGAGTCATTGCAAAGAGTTATCATCATCAGAGTCATTGCACAGAGTCATCATCATCAGAATCATTGCAAAGAGTCATCATCATCAGAGTCACTGCACAGAGTCATCATCATCATGCGAGTCATTGCACAGAGCCATAGCAGAGAGTCACTTGCGAGGAGCAATGCTCGTGAGAGTCACTGGCGAGGAGCAATGCTCATGAGAGTCACTTGCGAGGAGCAACTCGTGAGAGTCACTGGCGAGGAGCAATGCTCATGAGAGCTCTCACTCATGACGAGTCTTAAATTCCTTTCTTCTCTTCTTAGGGCGGCGGGGTAGGGCCGACAGCACTCTACGAAAATCAACCCTCTGCGGAGATTCGTGTGGTCGAGAGGCAAAAACACTAATGACTTTTTACGATTTCGCGGAGATTCGCGTGGTTGAGGTCAAAAAACTGCGGGTTTTTTGCGATTTTGACATTCCAGGATGAACCCTCTGCGGGGATCGGCGTGGTCGATGTGCAAAAACTGAGGGTTTGTTCGATTCTGAATATGCTCGCGCGACCCTCTGCGAGGATCGTGCGTGTCGAAGCGCTCTCGCTGCGGCGCCGTGCGAATTTGTTGCTTGCGAAGTGGTCTTTGGAAGTTGTCGCGTGGTTTGCGCGGCTGCTCTCGGAGTCGCGTGGTCGCGGGGTCGATCCGAGCCTGATCCGCAGAAGCTTTTCTAGACAGAAATCGCAACTTTTAAGTGCAAACGTAGTACGCGGACGCAGCTCCGGCTGGAAAACCGCAACTTTTAAGTACAACTGTAGCACGCAGAGTACAGTCCTGCAGCTCCGGCTGCATAATGGAACTTTTCAATCAGAAAACTAATATGCGAAGTGGTTCCCGAAAGCTCCGGCAGCACTTGCGCAGAGCAACTTGCACAGAGCGCTGCCGCTTGCGCAGAGCAACCTGCGCAAAGCAAATTGCACAGAACACTTGCACATAGCAGCTAGCGCAGGGCAAGTTGGGCAGACCAAAAGTCAGGTGTTCCGTTGGGAGAATCATTATCATGAGAGTCATTGCACAGAGTCATCATGACAGCCATTGCATAGAGTCATCACACAAGAGTCATTGCACAGAGTCATCATGACAGCCATTGCATAGAGTCATCACACAAGAGTCATTGCACAGAGTCATCATGACAGCCATTGCATAGAGTCATCACACAAGAGTCATTGAACGGAGTCATCAACGAGAGTCATCGCACAGAGTCATCGTGAGAGTCATCGCACAGAATCATCATGAGAGTCATTGCACAGCATCATCATGAGAGTCATTGCACAGAGTCATCATGAGAGTCACTTGCGTTGTAGTCACTGTTTTGCTCGAGGGCGGTATATGTGTCATCTTTGACGTGCTTGGCAAACTCGTGCGACCCCCCTTCCGATAGGTGGCAAGATAGCAGGAACAAGGTTAGTTGCTGTGTGTTGCTCGTGACCACATCGAGCAAAAAACTTGCGCGGGAATGATCGCCGGGCTGTGACGCTTTCGGGCCAACCGTGGTCTAGTTTTTCTCGCCATGTTGGTTGCCTTCAAACTCGCGCCCGCAAACCGCAAACCATGGCAGAGCATGTTGCGCCATGACAAACACCTAACGGACGTGTCAGGCATGACCGAAGTGGATGTGGCGAGCCTTTTGTACCAGCACTTTGGCCAGGCAGGGACGCTCGGGAACTCGCAGAGAGGTCAAGCTTGCTGCTTGAATATGTTTGTCGAGACCGCTCAGGGCCAAGAACAGAAAGTTGCAAAGCAGAGAGAGAGAGAGTGCGAGAAGATATGAACTTGACCCCAGCCACACACACACACATGCACGCGCACGCGCGCACACACACACAGACACACAGACACACAAACACACAGACACACAGACACACAGACACGCACAGACAAAGAGACACACACAGACACACACAGACACACACAGACACACACACACACATACAAAAAACTCACACAGACACACACACACAAACACAGACACACACACACATACAAAAAAATCACACACGCACACACACACACACACACACACACACACCGCTCGAATCAAGAATTCTGACCCTTTCCCGACTGAATCGTTGGTGTGTACCGAAACTTCAAGGATATAGTGATGTTGCACCCTCGGGAGATTGCCTGAGAAGCGGGCTACCGGAGCGCCGAGAATCTAGCTTTTCTGCAGTTTGACTGCTTGAAACGCTTGCTCAGTTGATTGTATGAGATTGTTTGTTTTCAACAGTGGTGGGCGCGAATTGTTTGCGAGCATGTGCTTTGAGGCATTAAGTCTGGAGCCTGTGTTGCAGATCAGGTTGCTGGATTGCTGGGCGGAAACAGACATGGTTCCGTATTTCTGCGGAAGGGACCGGCTTTCTTGTGCAGCAATCGGAAGGCACTTCGGACAAAGAGAAACTCAAAGGCCAAACGCACACACACACACACACAGAAGCACGTATTCGCATACACGCGCACTCACCCAACGCGGTGCTTACATACCCCCCCGTAAACTACAGACAATTCGCCCGTGTCTCTCTTTAATGTACTCAGCAGTGAGCTTTTGGCGCATGTTCTTGAGAAGCCAAGAAGAACCAACAATCTCGACCAGCCCTGTTTTAATGCAGTTGTGGTGACGGGGCGACAGCTATGGGAATAGATTTGTTTCAAGCAGGCTCGTTACGTCTTTTGAGGAACCAGTCAGTGGTCTTGTCATTGTGGTCATGATTTTGGCGCAGCGGGTTTGGTTGGCATTATCACAGACATGGTCGCAATGTGTTGTGGTCGGTTTTTTGTCAAGCGTAAATCGCTCACGGAATCGTTCTAGCAGTGCGGTGCAGAATTCCCTCTTGGGCAAAACTTGGCAAAACACAATGTTCTGGCGTTTGTCAGAGGAATTCCGTCCAACTAGCAGTAGAAATTACATGAATGCCATGGCGCGCCAGGCAAGACTCTTGTAGCCGCGTGCGACGCATGCATACAAACATGCCATGAAATGCAATTCTCAAGGTTTGAAGCAGAATCTCTGCCTCTCAGTGGCCTTCAGCTTGTGGCCCTTTGGCTTGTTTGGCCTTGCGGGTTGTCACAATCGCCGACCTCCGAAATGGGTGGCTTCCTTTGGTTTCCGTTGCAAAGCAAGCAAAGATCCAAACACCCGGGTTCCTAAAGTTAGCTTTAAAGGCAAACTCCCAAACGAAGAAAGAACCCAGGGCTTTCTTCCGCTCCCTGCATTTGAGGCCAAGCCGGCAGTCGTGTGAAGCTTAGCTTTGACAGTGCGCCCTCAGCGGGCGTCATGCTTTTCAAGATCCTTCGAAGGGTCGCGCTAAAAGAGGGGCGGTCCCCGAAACCTATGTCACACCAGAAGGGCAGCTCATGGCTTCTGCGAATGTTTCCAGAATCTGCGCACCGCAATTGTCCCCGCGCGAGAGGACCGAGCGGAATTCGTGGACTGGATCACGGAGATTGGCCTGCAGGGTGTTCGCACAGGCGCGTAGCCGAGCGAAGAACTGGGGTCCCCTAGATGTCGGCATTCAGGTTTGCAACATCACCTCTTGGGCCCATTTTAAAGTGTGTTTCCTTTCAGTTCGGTGTGTTTCAGCGGGGAAGGGAGCCCTGAAGAAAATTCGGCGCGCTGAAAGTGACCGTCGAAGTGGCCAAATCAAGACAAAACCCGAAAGGCAATGTCAAGAGAACCCCTCCAAATGTCACTCTGGTGGACCCAGTGGAATTGTTGTTTGGTTATGCTCCCTCCTCCTTTGGAATTGAGCAGCCTGAACATTCTGACTTGCGCCTTGGCGTGGGCCATGGACTGCAAATTCGCAGCTGCTTTCTTCCCTTACGTGTCAAACGTCTTGCTGGTCTCGAACAGCAGTCTTTTCCATAGAATGCTTTGCGCTGTTGGTTGATTCGGCAGAACATCCGGGGGGGTCACATACAAAGTTTTTCGTTAGAACTGGGCGCTGCGGGCGGGCCCAACTTGCTTCTCGTGAGAAGACTACTGACACTTTCAGCAAGGATGAATTGAGATGTTGCAATGTACGGCTTGTGTCATGAGTGGGTGTGTGAGTGAGCGTGCGCGGCGGCGGCGGCGTAAAACTTAGGCTGCCAATCAGCGGCGCTCAGTGGAGAGAATCTCGCGCTAGGGTCTCTTTTTTCAGGGCCTGACTTCGTGTTTTCGCTTGTGAGATGTTCTCTCACCAACTTGACAAGAAAGCAGCAGCTTGTTGTGAAGCAAATTGAGGGCGTTTTCGCCAGGGCCTCCCACCCGGGAGGGCGGACACCGCCTGTGTCTCGCAGGCGGCCACGGTCAGAAACATGGCGGTCACTGAGTGCCTCGTATTCGAGCATCGACTGGACCTTGTTTGCCAGGGGGTTGCCCGTTTCTCGCGTGGATCTCCCCGTTCTTCCGGTACATTGGGCGCATTGGGCCCGTGATTCGTGATGGTCAATTCATGGGGGAGTCGACAGTGTTTGTCCTTCTTGAGTCAGCGCCGGGTGGGATCCCATCTCAGGACAGATATGGACAGATTCACTTGGAAGAGCTTGTGCAAGTCCTGAGCATTGGAAACTACAACCAAATGGGAGTTGTTGCTTTCAGGGAGAGTCTTTTTTTGGTGGCGTTTCAGAGTTGAGAGAGCTGACCAAGAAGATGTCCTAATCTGCCGGTCATGGCGGATATCCCAATGTGCAAATGGGGAACGTGCTCAGGGCATACCCCCTTAGTTTCCCGGCTGTCCAAAAGCAAGCAGCTGCCTGCCAGTTTCATGTATCGTTTCGACTGGAACATGCCCATGGGAGAGCAGGACTTTGGGTTTTCCATTTTCAGCTCGTGCAAGCTCAGCTCGGCCACTGTTCCCGGGCGCCTTCCAGCATCAACGGTGGCGGTTTTTCTTGTTTCGGCCGGCGTCGGCCTGGCGGCTTTGGCCGCAAGATGTCGGAGATTTATTTTGCGAAGCAAAAAGCCCGCGGATCCGGCTGCTCGGATGTGAGTCGCGATACCTGCGAACTTCCCCAGAATTAGTTCCCCTCTTTTTTGTTTTGTGCTTGGGGTCCCCTTTGTTTTCCACTATAACCAAGAAAAAAAACCATTTTTTGCTGGGGTCCTAGTTTCATCCAAGCGAAGTGGTGGGTTTTGGCGGGGTCGCTCATCTTGAGCTGGCGAACTACACACTGACTTGTGCAGATCCTTGTGGCTTACAACTGCTTTGCTGTGGCGCATTGGTGTGAGAGAGGATAGAAAGGCGGGATGAAGCTGAATCGTGACTGTATGATTCCCATGCTGTCCAGCATCAAATGCTTTCACTTAAAATGAGCAAGATCTGAATGTTTGGATAGATTGCTTCTTGGCTGATTGCACTTTGCGAACAATACCGTGTTGTCAGCGAGGCGCATAGGTGCTGCGCCACGATCATGGCAACCGTTAGTCTGTGTTGTTATATTGGTTGATGAGAGGTACCCGGGACAAAACGGAGGTCCTCTCACTACCTAGAGTCTCCATGACACTTTAAAACTGGTTGGTCATTACCCTAAATAATGGGGGTGGACCTATTTTTATTTAAAGGGTCATGGAGACTCCAGGTATATGACGGCGAGCCACCGCTACGTTTGCGTGTTTCGCCTTCAGCTTCTCAAGCGGCGCTGGACTCCGTGGGCGGCCAGGCGAGCACCAGAAAGCGGGCGCGGTGGGTTCCAGCCACCCTTCAACCCTCCTTTTGTTTTTTTTGGTTTCGGTCCCCCCTCAAAAAAAACACAAGTGTTCCGCAGTGCTTTTCCCAAAAGGGTCCGTGGGCAAACTGGGTTTGTTTCGTTGGGTTGCCAAGACTTCCAGAGGTGTGCCTGTGCAGAGAACGATGCAAGAGGCCTCAAACGGTGATGCGTCAGGTTTGAGCCGCTGCGTTGCTACAGCTACAACGATGTTTCAGATATTGGCGTGATGCGGACCAGGGTCCGTGAGTTCATCATGATTCCTATTTGCTTGTCACATCTTGTCAAGATCCGTGGTTAAGGACATGGCCATGAGGCGGTCCATGTGCTTGAGTTCAGCCGTAGTTCTCCACAGCCGCAGACCTGTTTTCGCCACGATGCCCTGAGTGCTCTTCTCCTTGGGTACAATGATTCAGACGTGACGGAAGCTTCCTTTCTGCAAGCCCTATATTCTGGGGTGTCGCCTTCTACAAAGCCTAGCCCCTCCGCAAATTCGCGGGATTCTTGAACCATCTGACGATTGTTGATTCTGTTCAACATGCATCGAACGGCGGTTCTTCCGGAACAAATCCATACGTGCCATGGTCAGAACACGGGTTGCAACCAGTCCATCCATGATTGACAAAGGGAGTTTGACCCTACACGTTTACGGGGCCCTGAAAGTCAGGCGAGCCACCTGCTCAAAACCCGGGTAGTTAATGGAGGTTAGGGATACTCCCAGCCATAAATAGCCGCAGATATCCGCCTTCTTAATTCTTCACATGAATCTCGGTAGGCCATTTAAATACCTTGCTTTGATTGTGACTCATATGGGGGTGGGGGCCCCCTCAAGTGGTCTGATTCCCCACATTTCACCCAGAATCGGAGACCCCCAGATTAATAAACCATGCGAGTATGACTCAGGCTGAGTCACTGCGCAAGGCCATGACGGGGCCCGCGGGCTTGCTGGCCAAGCGCGCCGCTGCCGAGCGCCGGGGGGCACATTTGTTTCTTCCCAATGCGCGCCGATTGAGACGTTTTTTGTTGGCTTCCTGAAAGTGAAGATTTGGAAGGGTTCTCAAAATGACTACTGGGTTTGGTGTCCCTATGAAACCACCAGTTATTTAGTTGACCCAGTTTTTGGACTTGGTTCTGGCTTGGATTGCTTTAAGCGAAGGGCGGCTTCACTGTTTTGGGTATTTTTAACGGAGCCATTGGCGCAAGCAGTCCGTGGTGGGTGGCTGGCTGGGTGGCTGGGTGGATCGTTGTTCGGAAGGCCTTTTAGGCTGGTTTTGCAGCGCTGTCCCAAAACAATCAAAGTAAGTCTGAGCACCAAATAGCAGTTGACAATGCCCGAGCCAACCCGCGAGCTGTGTAGCCCCAAAACCGACCTTGAGCCCACTCAATCCTACCCCAAACATCATCTCCGATTATTGCCTTATGCGCTTGAACCAACCCTAAAGCAAAGCAACAGCAGTCCAAGCCCCGCTCAGTTTGAACTAACCAGTCAGAACCCTGCCATGAAGCAACCTCAAGACAACTGCAAAAGTAGCCCTACTTCTGACAATGTAAAGCCCTAAAAGTTATCACACTGAGCCCCCAAACAATGCACCCGAACCATGCCCACACCAAGACAAGGCCAGGCCAAGCCCCAGCATACCCGGATCCTTCTGCTCAGGTCGCACCATGTTTGCCCTTCACTTGCTTCACGCCCCGCCAAAAGGTAGCGTAAAAACCCAGTCATGTCGATCTCCGTTTAAAGCCACCAGGGATAGCAAATCATTTGAAGCAATTGATAGTGGTCAACATGTGTCTCCTTTCGCCATGATCGGGCGATCCAGTTTATTCATTTCATTCGGCCATCTGCCAGCTTGGGTGGGCCCAAAAGCTTCAATCGCGTGTTCTGAAAATGCGGAAACCCTGACAAAGGAAGCTCAGGCCGTTGGAACATCCCATTTGGCTGGAATCTAGCTGATTCTACCTCTCGTTGCATGCTTCCAAAGCCAAACCAAGATGGGAGCAATCACTGTCGCCATGGTCACCAGTTAAAAGATCCCTTGACTCGGGGTTGGTAGGAATAGTCACGAACCTCACAGAATGATGTGATTGGAGGACCTTGTTGACAATTTCAATCACATATATATATATATAGGTGTACATATATGTATATGTGCATCATCGAGAAGCTGTTGCTTCTGGCTGGCCCGCAGCCACTTGAGATCTTGCCCCCAGCTTACCGCTTGCCGATTCATCCGCTTTCAGCCATGAGAGCCTTGGCCGATTTGGCTTGGCAGGGTGGGCGCTGAAACCGGGCTACGGGCTGCCCAAAAAAGCTCTGTTGTGTTTAGCCGGGACTCACAAGAGTCCTGTTTGCATATGTTTGCAGCGCAAATGAGCTGCAGAGGGAATTGGAGGTTCAGAGGTGGAGCTTTGGTTTGGATAACTCGAGAGACCGAGGGATTGGGGCACGCGTTTCAAGTCGAACGCCCCTGGCCAAAATTGTGCCATGTAACGAATTGAAACCAGCCATCGCATTGCCAGGGTTGACCCTGGGACAAGAACTATGGAGGTCATGGGGCAAGGTTGCCCGCCTAAGCACCCCACCCACTTCCAACTCACCCCCCCACCCCACCCCACCCCGCCAGGACTCATCCAAGTTCTTGTGCTTGGCTGGGCGATGCTCATCGCAGCAGAGGAAGTCTGCCAAGCTGGGCCGGGGGTGGCGATCCATCAGTTTTTTCTTTTCGGCAATCCTGGTCCTTTCCGTGCGGCAGAGCGAGCCAGTTGCTGTTTGTGGCTTCCCAAGAAGGACCTATGGTTTTGGATTGGCCAACCCTGGGACCCTGCATTCCGACCATCCCAGACTACGGCTGCAGACCTGTGTCACGCAGCGGTAGGTGAGCAAAGCGACTTTTACTTCGGATGGGGAGATGTACGTTGTACTCCCACAGCAACGACGTGTTGCTTTCTGCTGGGGACGTTGTAGTAGATTTGTTTGAAAGCGTTGTCCTTGAAGGCGCCCTGCTGTAGGTGCTTTGAGCGGAAAAAAGCTGGCTGGAGGCTGTTCTGAGGGTTCTCCTGTATAGACGCGGTCAGCAGCGCAGGAGTGTGAGGTCAAGGGCGCGTCCCTGATCCAAGATCGCCAGAAGCTCGAGCAAGCTCGTCGTTGGCTGATTTGTGTGTGTGTGTGTAATATTGTGTCAATGCAAACAACGCTTCAACTGTTCCTGGCCAGTCAACTCAGCAAGCCGGCATTGGGATGCGTTCGCAGGATACGGATCCCAGCAAACGGCCCAACGCCAGACATGGAATTTGTAGAGAATGTGTACACACACATGTATACATACATACACACATACATACATGCATGCATGCATACATACATATATACATATACACGTATATACAGATATGCATATATACAGACACACACACACAAACCACACACACACCACACACACAGAGACAGAGACAGAGACAGAGACAGAGACAGACACAGACACAGACAGAGACAGAGACAGAGACAGAGAAAGACACAGACAGACACAGACAGCCAGAGACAGACAGAGACAGACAGACAGAGGTATTTGGGCACTACGGAGATGCTTTTGGGGCAAAGTTAAGCGAGCAACGCGTCTGACAAATTCTGGGGCCCGCAACGGTAAAGTGATTGTTAAGCCTGTGGTGCCGGGACCTTCAAAAAACTTGGATCCCGCCAGCCTTTGGGATCCCAGCTTGAATTGGCAAGGAGCCGGGATCCCCACCCCTCCACTCTAGGGGTTTGCGCAGGATGGGGACTGGGTTACACTTAGGATACATTTTACATTTTACCAGTGACTCAAAGGGAAGCAAACAATAGAATACACCTTCTACAATTGCGCCTAAGTCTAATCATGGGGAGATCCCATGGCATTTCGGTGCTGCCGAGCCTTGAGGCACTGCCAGCAAGAGGCAGCCGCTGCCGCCGCCCAACCAGGGAGGCAAGCCTGGGGATTTCCCAGTGAGCGGCAGGGAGGGAGGGAGCTCTGCGGTGGCACCGGTTGGGCCTGGGCGACCTTGCCCGTTCTCAGGCGTAGCAGGGAACCTTGTTTGGGCGCACCCAGATGGAAGTCACTCCGAAGAAGACAAACAGAGATAGATAGAGGGACAGAGGAGGAGGGAGAGACAGAGAGATAGAGGAAGCGAGATAGGGGGAGCGAGAGACAAGGGGGGAACGAGAGAGTGAGAGAGAGAGAGAGAGCGAGGAAAAGATAGAGAGAGAGAGAACGAGAGACACACACAGCCGGACAGACAGAGCGACACAGAGACAAGAGAGGAAAAGAGATGTAGAGAGAGACAGAGGTAGAGACAGAGAGAGAGCGCACGAGAGCGAGAGACCCAGGATGAGAAAGAGAGAGGGAGAGAGAAAGAGGGATTTATTTATTTTTAAAGAGAGAGAGAGAGAGAGACAGAGAGAGGGAGGGAGAGAGAGCGAGAAAGAGAGGGGGAGAGAGAAAGCGAGACAGGGACACAGAGTTTGGGCTGTTTGATCCTGTTGCGTCAGGTCCCGACTCGCCCCTCTTCGTGCCGCTGGGCTGTCATAGTTCTCCCAGCTGTGAGTTGTGCTGGATCGCACTGTTTACTGGATGTCACCTACCTAAACACATGTCAAACTGAACGCCAGCAAATCGAGACTTGTGTTTCCCAAGTGCTACGCACATCAAGGGATTTAATTGCCGGACATCGTTGGACCGCTTTGCTCAGCAAGCGCGATATCCAGCCAGGTGTCCCGCTCGTTATAGGGCAGCCTGTCCTAAGGTCGGAGACGGAGACCACGACAACGCAACTCGGACGGAAGTCTCTGGAGCAATGTTAACTGCGCACTTCAAAGGCCATCCTGACTCCTTTCCTTGCCACGAGACACGGGTTCATGTCGAGGATGTTGCAGCGAACTGTCATCCGAGCTTTGGACGCGCTGAGATTCGCCGAAAAATTATTTGCCCCACGAGAGGGTCGCCTAATCCCTTTCAGAAGGAAGAAGCGTGGAAGTTGTCAGCACATCGGCTGCAAATCATCGGAATGTGTACATATTTTGCGGTACGCAGTTGAAAGTACTCTATTCTTCCATTTGCTTCAGAATATTTGTTGCTTTCCCCTATTGGTTTTAAATGGATCTATCACCACTGGGATCTTTTCATTTTTTGCAGGGTGCTTAAGCAAATGGAAGTATTCTGGTTGAGGGGAGCTCCGTTTGGGCCTTGCGCAGGGAACACGCGGCCAGCACGGCGGCCAGTACCACTGGCGGCCCTACGCCCGGCACTCTCAGCACCACGGCCTTCACTACTACCACAGCCAGCACCACCACGAGCTCCAAGGAGCTGGTGCTGTGACCTACCAGTTTTTGTGCAAGCCTTCCTGTTCAAATTCGAAAATTTCCAAAGCTGCGCCGGGGTAGCGCCAAGACAGAGGAAACACATGTTTGAGATGGGGCAGGGGTTGGCGATTCACCCAAGGATGCGTGCAATATACTGATTTGCTGGGTCGTTTGGAGAGCTACGCACCAGCCAGCCACGCATGTTCTGCGTATGGGTGCGGGCGCGGGTGTGCGTGCTTGTGTGATTTGGACGGTTGCTTTTTTGGGGGGTTAGGGGGCGAAAGGAAGCCACCACCATGTAAAACAATCTGTTTTTTGCGGCACCCATTCATGGCTGAGATTGTCCCTTACGAACCTTCACGTTTCCGGGTTATGGCAGGGACGCGAATCCGTCGGTGCAGTACTGCAAATCCGAGGAGAAGTCCAGCTGCAGTGCGCTGTCGCCTTTCCTGGCACTCTCGGCGGCTCGGGACGTTGTTGCGCAAACTCCCTGGCTGCACAACTTTCTTCAGCAGCCAAACTCTAGACCCTGGTCCACTTGGCGAAGCTAAAAGGAGGGACCATGTTTCCATGGATTGACGCAGCCCTGCCAGCGCCTGAACGTTGACCGAAGGGTGCAATGTTGACCAAGCAGGGATATCGCATGCTGGTGCAAATCTGCACTACTTACAGCAAGCTGGACGTAAAATAAGTTTGCGCTTCACGAAGGTTCCTGAAAATGGGTTTCCTTCATTCAGGTTGGCAAGTTATAATATTCTTCTCCCGCCAACTAGCATGGAATCTGACTGCAGACCCCTGGCTCGGATTGTTTCCCCGTTAACGGCGCCTTCTGGCATGGTCCACGACGTGGGTAGCTCCGAGGTGGCCGCTCTGATGAGCCAGTAGCTGAATCCGCTCGACATATGCGTGGAAAAGAGTTTCCTTGCGCGGGACGCCTCGAGCCATCGGCTGCCCCTTGTGAATGGAACCTTCTTCGACCATCGGAAATCTGGAACATTCCACGGGCAGGCCTCATTTTCCTTTTCGGGGTGAAAGCGTGCGACTAACGCTGGCGCATGTCAAGGGACCTTGGACGCGTTGCTCAGGAGCGGCGCAGAAGCAAGCGCCGCCGCCTGTCCACATCTACCTCTATGGCAAACACCAGGAGCCGAGGGGCAAATGGCGATCGGGCCAGCGGCGGACTGTGATTTTCGGTGACCCCCCCTGGCTGTATGCGAGGCTAGGAATTCTGCAAGGTTTAATTTAACTATAGTAATATCACCAGAGAACCATGCGCAGCGTAGCTTAAGCTTCCGTTGCAGCTTGAAGCTGGCTTGACTCCAGCACTGAGGCGCAGAGAGACGGGTTAGCTTGCAACCTTGTTAAGCAAGATGTGATTCCCAGAAGGTGTTCCGCAAGCCTGTGATAAGGACCATGTCGACGGGCATCCTACCGAGCCTCCCCCTTTGTTCTGACCATTTCACCCTTTGGCTCTCGGAGCTCCGCCCGCCCGAGGGCCTACGTCTTGTTGAGCCGGCGAACTAAGCACTCCGGGGGGTTGAGTGTTTTGTTAACATAGAAGAGTGGTGTTGCATGTGTTCCAAACATGATCGCCGTTTTAATGTTGTTTGGTGAAATGATGTACTTGGTAGGCGCCAACCCATTTAACATAGAACCTTCTTTATTAAATATGTATATTTTCCGCAAATCCTGCATCTTAAAGTATATAAGTAGTTTAGTTACAACTGTCAGGGCGATGTAAATGAGAACCTGGGGCCGAACCCGAGCGACGCACCCATGATGAGGGATCCAATTTGCTTCCGTGTTCCTTTTATTAAACAGTTCAGTGGTTCAAACCTGTTATGATGAGATGTTGCTCCCTCCTCAAACCTCAACTCCTCCGACCCTCGCAAGCACCCCCAAACCTCAACTCCTGAAAGCCTCAAAACTCAACTCCCGGAAACCCTCACAAGCCCCTTAGTACCCTCAAATCTCACATATGGCATATGGCGTCTGAGAGAAGCCCCCGACTGCGCTGCGGGGCCCCTTTTCAGAAGATTCCTCTGAGAGGACCGTGACTTCGCAGGCTATGCGGGGCGCCTCGTAGAACTCTTTCCAGAACTCTTTCATTGGGCATGGATCCCTACAACAATATATGGGTATGGGTCAAAATTAAAACCAGGGAACCGCAGGTTTTAGTCCTTGTTTCCATTTACCACACGCCCGTATCTCGTTTTGAACCACTTTAAACATCGACTGCGTTTCTCTATGTCGGATGGAAAATTGAGCTCCTGCGGAAGGGGGCGCTACGGTGGATGCCCTAAATATTGCAAGTAGGTCAACCACAAACCATGGAAATTTGCAGGGTGTCCTTTGTTCCTTACTTGCAATATTTAGGGCATCCACCGTAGGTCTTGCCTGAGCCACTTGCAAGACACTTCGCCTGTTGGATTGACCAGGATGCTACCTTTCAGCTGCTGAAGGCGTGACGATGAGGGAGGGGAAAGCCCAGCAGATGGCCCAGGGTAGCGCGAATGATGGCGAGGGTTCTGTTTGCTTGTGTTGGTTGCGTCGCTTTTGCTGTGTTTTGCAGTCCCTGCATGTGTGCGTGTGTTTGCGTGTTTTAGTTTCTTTTTTGGTTGTTGTTTTTTTGTGTTTACTTATTTCAAAATAGTTTACTTTAAAGAAACATTGCTGAGAGAGGGGTGTTCTGCGGGAGGGGTGCGTCACTTCTGCCGTTCCAGTTTCTCCATTGTTGAGCCATTGCCCTGCTTGCACCGAATTGCCAAACTGCAAAATGCTGCCAAGGTGAAATCGGGCTGGGCAGGTTATGAGAGGGAGAAAAGTAGGAGATATCACAACCATCTTGCAGGGTTCCCACTGGACGGATGTTGGGAGATATAGCCGGCGAGGCATGTCGGATTTAGGACAGCCAGGCGGCGAGATATTTGCAAACTCTCTTGCCCAGCGGCGAGATTGTGGTCCTTCACTGTTTCCAGCGGGGAGATTCTTGGCTGACAACACCAATCGCGGCGAGATACTCTAGGAGTAGCTCTCCGCCCAGCCCTGCCCTCGAGAACCAGAAATCTCTCCAACTTGGGCCTGGTGCCAGCCCCTCAAAGTGGAAAGCTACTCGGGGAGTAGCTCTCCGCTGTTTTGGTAGTAGGCACGACGGAAGTCTTCACTTTTCCAGGCCTCGTCCCAGTCAGAGACAACCGCGTGATAAATCTGTCGCAGCCAGATATCCGGACTTTCCAGGAGCCGCAGCTCTTCCGGCCATTGCAGGTTGTGGCTAACACGGAAGGCTTCACCACAAACGGAGGCAAGGAAGTTCGCGATGCTACGGAGCATGTCAAGCAGGCGCGGTATCGGATCGAGGCCAAAGTCGGATTCCGGCAACTTCAGGCCACGGCTCCAAGGTAGCGCATCAATGGCAAAGGCAAGTCTACCGAAAGGCCAGTCCATCGGCAGGCAGGCCAAATCGGTCAGGCAGGGGTTATCGAGGTGGAACTCCTGGAGAGGCAGAAGCTCCGCAGGGGAGCGACCCTGCTTCCCCATCCGTATGACCTCTTGCACTAAAATTGAGCACTTTTGTGCGGCCGCGAGAGCACTTTGCCCAACAGGCCTGACCTGGCACTCCCGCAGCCATTCATAGCCAGGCATGTCCTCGCTCTATGTCCGAAGCTTCATCCTCAATGTCGTTCTCCGGCTCGCAATCCACGTCAAGCACGTAAGGTGCAGGGCGGAAAGCCGGGAAGTTCAACCACTCTGCATAAAACGCATGGTTGGGCAGGGGCCACATGGCTTTACTGCTATGGTAGGTGACCGCTCCAAATGCATCGGGCTTCTTGATCTTCAGCCAGAGTCTAGCGTACAAGAGGAGCCAAAGGCCTTGCTCATCGGGCACCAGCAACACCCGGGCACCCCGTCGTCCTCTTGGGGCATAGCCGTAAGCAAGCGTCGGCGCCTGACTATCCACTAGGGAGAGAAATCCACCTGACCCTGCGGAGCGCGAGCGAAACGACATGGCACCACTACCAGACAAAGCACTTCGGGCTGGCGTCTCCCCTGCTGGAAGGCAATGGCCATGGGGACTCCACACCAAGGGGTTACGTCCCAAAACTGGGTACGCTGGAACCAGGGCGTAAGCGCCAACGGGCGAAATCGAAAGATCTCAGGCGCCTCGTAGTAGGTTGGGTCGAGGACCTGCAGCCGTCGTTCCTTGGCTGCAAGCACTTGGGCCATACCCGGAATGCCCTTCATGTCCGGAGGGGAGATCATCAAGACCTGCGTGGTGGAGCGAGTCAGGACCACCGTGGCACGTGCATCAGCTTCATCGCCATTTGACATGAAGCCCACCGCCGACTGCTGCCAGATACAGGCATGGGCAGTCGCCCCCGAGGCCCTCACGCCAGTCTCCACAATTGTGCCGACCTCGGGGGGGCAAGCGGGGTTACCAGTGGCTGCCAGGACTTCCGCCGTGCTCTTTGCTTCGGTCCGTCATACGCGTGGAACTGGCGCTGCAAACATGAGCTAATGTCGCCACGGTTGGTTAGGATTAGAAGCTTGCCTGTATCCAGCTGACCCCAGTGCAAGCACCGAACTGTAAGATGGGCTGCTGCAGTACTGCTGCCATGTCCTCTGGTTTGTCCTTAAACTGGCGAGTTTTGGGCCCCGGAGTGTTCACCAGGCTGCAACCTCGACCGCCGCCGCGGCCACCTCAACTTCTGACCGCCTCCGACCTCCTTCCACCTCCAACCACCTTCCGACCAATTCCGACCAACTTCCAACCACCCAAGCCACAGGCCAAAAAAGGTGCCAATTTCGTAGCTCGGGGCTACATTTTGAGGGAAAGCGGGATTGACCTTGCTAACAAGGTTTTTTGGAAGGCCAACACCCCAGAGGCTCGGACTTTCATTTCAGACCATGCAATCTCAAAGCTACTGAATGGCTTCCACCCCCGAGCGCTTCTAGAGGTTTTTGACGTTTCACAGGCTTCGTGTGCTTGAAGCGGCGCAAGTGCCCAGGTATGCCCAGCGCCAAAAAGCCTATAATCTCCCTGCGTGAGAAAACGTCGCCTGTCAAGTTGCGGCAGAAAGAAGTCAAATAAATCAATAAATATATGTCTATATATATATATATGCTATTTCAGTAAATGTCGGAGTGGCGATCGCAGTTGTCTGCGCGCCGGCTGTTGCAGTGTGAGCCGGCCAAAGAGAAAGCAGGACTCAGTGTGTGCTGCTGCTTCCGACCCAAATCGACGCAAGGCACACACAGCAAGACCGGCGCAAAGCGGTTGCTGCCGGGTCGAGGCGGAGCAGTACTTGCCTCTTCCGCCAATCGTCGTGGATGGCTGCAACGCAGCCCGGCCCTGGTGCCCAAGCCGAGGCCGGAAGCACCGTGGCAGCAGCGCGCACCACGTGCCACCACGATGGCGGCGCAGACAGCGCTGGGCTGCAGCGAGCGCGTCTTGCGCTGGCCGACTATGTTCCGGCACAGGGCGCGGCGTCACCATGCACGCAAATCATAGCGTCGTAGACCTGCAGAACCGGCCCGCGATGTTCCTCGACCTTCGCCAGTGCCAGTACTTTTTGCAGCTTCAAGGATTTTGGGAGTTATGGAGGCGCGCTCCGTTGGTGATGCTGCACGGCGTCTTTTCGATCGGCGGCGATTTCCAGCCGAGCCCCAGGTGGAGGACAACGAGGATGCCCAGGCAAAGGATAAGAAGTGTGGGAGAGCCAAGCAAGCCCGGGCTGCGAAGCTTTCCGTGCCTGAGTGTTCAGCGACCTCTTCAGCCACTGCAGGGCAGAAGCGAGCTGCAAAAGTGGACACAGGAGAGACGTAGACAAAAGCCAGAAAGCAAACAAAGCAGAGAGACTGACCAAACAAACAAGACCTCTGAAGCAACTCCTGAGTCGCACATGTCGTTGTTTGGGCTGGCTAGGCTGGCCTGCGCGCGCCCGCCTCTCAAGTTTATCTGTTTATCTCCTAGAGTTTGTCCTTCTTCCACCCTTATTTTCTTTCGATCTGTTTTCTTTGTCGGCTTGTTTGCTTGTTTGTTTGTTTGTTTGTTGTGTGTGTGTTCTGTGCTTGTGTTGTTTCCGTTAAGTTTGTGGATGGTTTGGTTCTTGTTTTGTTTGGTTTTGTTTGGTCGGTCGTCTGTGTGTTTGTTTGCGTGGTCGCTGCGTGTGTTTGTTTGCGTTTGTGTTTGTATTGGTTGTCGCGTGTGTGTGCGTGTGTGTGTTTGCTCTAGTTTGCCTTGGTTGATGTTGTTTGTATATGTGTAATGTTATGTTATGTTATGTTATGTTATGTTACGTTGTGTACTGTTATATGGTTCCATTTTATGTTACGCCTGTGCTGTATTGTAATGTACTGCAACATAGTGGTTGTTTTTATGGTATGCACCTATGTAAATAATGTAATGTAACGCAATGGAATGCAATGATATTCAGTGTAATGCAATGTAATGTAAGTATGTAATGTGTGTATGTATCTAACGTACTAAACTGTAAGGTTGTATGCACGTATGGTATGGTATGGTAATGTAGTTCATTTTGTGTAATGCAATGTTTTTGTGTATGTGTGTAGTATATGTTTGTATGTCCATCCCTTCTTCCCGCATTTCCTGTGGTTGATGTTTTTCTTTCTCTCTCTCTCTCTCTCTCTCTTTCTCTCACCGTCTCTGTCTCTGTCTCTGTCTCTCTCTCTCTCTCTCTCTCTCGCTCTCTCTCCCTTTCACTGTTTGTTTCTTTCTTCTTTCTCTGTTTCTTTCTCCCTTATTCCTTCCTTTGATTCTTCCTTTCTTTCTTCCTTTCTTTCTTCCTTTCTTTCTTCCTTCCTTCCTTTCTTTGTTTCCTTTTGTCTTTCTTTTTTTATTTCTTTCTTCCTTTCTCTGTTTTTATGTTTTTCTTTCTGCTTGTTTTTGTTTATCTTTCTTTTTCTTCCTTCATTCCTTCCTTCCTTCCTTCCTTCCTTCCTTCCTTCCTTCCTTCCTTCCTTCCTTCCTTCCTTCCTTCCTTCCTTCCTTCCTTCCTTCCTTCCTTCCTTCCTTCGTTTGATTTGTGCATTTCTTTGTTGTGTTCTGTCTTGTTTTTTGGTGTGTGTGTGTGTGTTTGCTTGTGTGGTTGTTTGATTGTGTTGGTTTGTTTGTTTGTTTGTTTGTTTGTTTGTTTGTTTGTTTGTTTGTTTGTTTGTTTGTTTGTTTGTGGGTGTGGCCGCTGTTGCGTGCGTCTGTTTGTAGTCTTGAGCTTGTGTGGTTATTTGTGTGTGGTTGGGGGTGCGTTCGTGTGTGTGGTTTGGTGTGTTTGTGTTTGTTTTGTCCGGGACCTCGTTGTCCAAAGCCGACCTTTTGACGTCTCGGTTTGCCGTTCTTGGTCCACGCAGATGCCCACAGTTGGAGCCCACGAACCCCACGACTGTATTTGCGATGTCTATCAAACTTGCTGGTGCTCAGTAGAAAATGGGGAATGAACCCAGGGATTCCCTCAAAGGAAGCCACAAAGGATGGTTAATAGGGGTCATTCCCTCCCTGCTGAACACCAGCAAGCAAAAAGGGCAAATGGTCAACAAATATCACATGTGACCACATCTCGTCGCCATAATGATAGTTACTGGTGTTCATTGCCAGGCGGCAACAGATTACCTGACGAGCGAGAAGGAGGCGGTTCAGGCGGCATTGATCCCGCGGAAAGATGTAAGAAAGGCATTGGGTGACTAGGCAGAAAGGCAACTCCTTTCCCGTCCCCAGTTAGCCCCAGTTCCTGCTTGTTTACTCCCAATTGAGTGATGTTGACATATCAACAAAAAAACATAGCGCCGCACTGCAGCCGCGCAACGTTTGCGAGAGGTTTTCTTCTTGTGGAAGCTTGCTGATTTGCGCATAGTAGTTTGATTTTGTTTGGGTGGTTGTTGCCAAGCACGGTTACTAGCAAACCGTGCACATGAATTCCCTCGCGGAATCTACATTCCTCAGTTTCCAGAAGCAACTTGCTTGGGAAAGGCCCGTGGTATAAACTTATATGGCAACATGCTCCTAAAAGGTACCCTCAGAAGCTTCGCAGAAAGGACGCGTCAGGATTTGATACGTCAATGAAAATTTAAAGGGAATACAAACCACCACTCAGTTCTGCTTGAACCGAGGGGCTGAGATTTAGGCATACCTCGTTGAGCCCAAAAAATGCCCTTGCAGCACATTTGCCACAAATCCGGCAGACATGCTGTTCAGGCCAAGAGCTGTGCATTATGCCCCGCTTGGTTCCCACACCTTGCGTGCTCAACCACAGTTGCCAGAGCGCCATTGCATTTGCAGAGATGCGCCCCAGCATGCACGCATATCTAGTTGAAGATTGTTTTGTGAACACTCCAGTCCAAAAGTTGTCCTTCAGGCGACTGTGGAGGGTTTTCACGAGACTCAGTACGAGCAGCACTTGAGGCGCTCGATGAGTGTTTCTTGTGCCGGGGGGGGGGACTGGTGCCAGTATGGTGGTCTTCTCTCGGCGTCTCTTGTTTGGGGGCAGTTGCAGACGTGACGCAGCCTAGCCAAAAGAAACCACCTATTTGGAGGATGCGCCGTTTTGAGACAATGCATGCATACGGATTGTTGGGGCGGAGAGTGGAGAGTGGAGACTTTGTCCGCGCGCGCGTGCAGAATCAAGAATCCCGATACTACATGCCTTCTCGACGAAGGGCCCTTGTTTGGGATGCCGAATTTTGTATGTCTCAAAGTTTGGAATCGACGTTCCCGGTGACTTTTCTGAAGTGCACTATTTGCCCGAATCTTCTGAACTTCGGCAGACACATCGTGGCAGAGTATGGCGGCAGCTTCACACAGCACCGCTCTCAGGCTGAACCTTTGCTCGGCGGGAATGGGTTACCATAAAGATGGACCTGGGCCTTCCTTGGCCCCAGCTGCCAAAGGTGAAACTCGTTCTTGCTACTGTTGGAGGAGCAATTTGTTGACCCCGGGACCCCCGAATTTGTTGGCCTCAACCTGTGGGGTTCCAGGGATGAGCCCCAATTGTCGAGAAAAGCAAGGCCTGGGTACAGAGAGAAATGAACAGAAGGAGTTCAATAGACCTTCCAAATCCGGTGCCTTGAATATGTGCGCGGACTTTTCGTGTCCACCTAGTGGGCAAACTGGTTTGATGGGAGCTCAGACCAGAGTGGTCCTGCAAAACAAGCGTGATGCAATTTGGACAAGTTAGGTCGACCTGACAAAGGTGTGTTTTGCACCCAAACGCCAATGATGTTTCTTTCACAAGGATCATAAGGCTTCCCCTTTTTTCGGTGCAATTCGCCCAGATGGGCGTCACTCCTTTACGAGACCATTTGAGGTATGCCAACGTCTGACGGGTGCCGCCACCACAAGGTCAAAGCCCGGCACTCCGCTGATCTTCGCAGAGGCCGACGACAAGGCGCGGACTAAGGGCCTGCTGGCGTTGTCAAACTTGGGACAAGCCGGCCAGATGGCCATGGGTCATCACCTATGCCTCCATTTTGCGGGCAGATGAACATTCATGTACCACCTATGTTGATGTTCACCAGGGGTACAGGGTTTTGACCCACAGCCAGATGGTTGTCCTTTTCAAGGCGAGAGACTGGTTGCTGGGTGGGTGAATTGCTAGATTTGACACATACCTGCAGAAGTGATGCAAGCAAAGGCCTGCGGTTCAGCAGACATCTCATGCTTAAAATGCGTGAGACTTGGCCAGTGATGTCTTCATCCTGGTCGCTATGTTTTGACCAGTGTTTGCAGCCCGCACGTCGCCGATGACTGCAGGTCATGTACTTTGCCAACGAGAAAGTGTTCATGGAATGGCTGCTTGTGAACTACAAGTACGAGGACCGCTCTTAACCTCAGAGTAGTTTCAAGCAGACAGGACTGGAAGGAGAAAACCGACATGAGAAGAACACAAAGCTGTTGCAAGGCATGCCTTCCGACACCCAATGACTGAGGATCGGCCAAAACTCATCAACCCTTGGTAGACCTTCAAGTCACATGACTAGGCGCTAGAGAGGCCAACTAATTTCTATGTTTGTGTTAAGGAAGGTACAAGGGAATGCATCAAGATGATGCGCAGACCACTTTGTAATGGTGCCTCAGTTTCCTTCGGTTGGTACCTCGAACTGCCGCAGGTTCATTGCAACCTGCCAATAAACTTGAGCTTGTGAGGAGAAGCGCCTGACCCCTGATTTACCAAACACACAACAAGGGCTGGCTTGTCTACTGGATCTCATGACTTTCAGAGTTTTGATATGGTTTCTGTTCGTTTCAGCCACTAAGCAAACGCATTTTAAAGTCGAAAAGTCAACAAGCTTGGATTTGGGATTACGCCAGCTCGGCCAGGACAATACGAATTTTGCGCTCTACAAGCGCATGGCGAACAAAGCCCTGAAAACGGCCAAGGAGTGACGGCAGGGACGCCATGCGCGCCAGAAGGTCAGAATTTGTCAAACTTGGACCCCTTGTGGTGTTGAAAGGAAGCCAGCTGACGCGAGCGGAGGCGAGCTTGGGCCTATACTATCCCTTTTCATAACGCAATATTGCCACAAAACGGAGTCTCTGTGTGAGGCTTTGTGCTTGTGTGTGTGTACATGTGTGCGTGTCTGTGTGTCTTTGTGTCTCTGTGTTTGTTATAATTAGAGAGTGGGACGCCCTGTGGGCCCTGGTTTTACAGCGGTGTCAGCTGTGTTTTAAGCTTTTTTTCCCATGCTGAGCACTTCTCTATTTTTCGCATGTCGTTGTTTTGGGCCCACCTTCAAGTCAAATGATCAGATGTTATGATTCCCTATGCTGAACACTTCTCTTCTTTCTCATGTCGTTGTTTTGGGGCCAACTCCAAGTCAAATTTCATAATTAGCATGCTGAACGCTTTTCTTCTTTTTCATGTCTTTGTTTTGGCCCACCTCCACGTCAAATTCTTAGATGTCATAATTCCCTACGCTGAACACTTCTCTTCTTTTTCAATTCTTTGTTTTGGGCCCACTTCCATGTCAATTGATTGAATGTCATAATTCCCTATGCTGAACACTTCTCTTCTTTGTCATGCCATTGTTTTGGGCCCACCTTCAAGTCAAATTCTCAGATGTCATGATCCCCATGCTGAACACTTAATTATCTTCTTTCTCATATCATATTGTTTTGGGCCAACCTCCAAGTCAAATTCATAGATGTCAAAACTCCCTATGCTGAAGACTTCTCTTCTTTCTCATGTGCTTATTTTGGGCCCACCTCCAAGTCAAATTCTTGAATGTCCTGCTTCTCCATGTTGAACACTTTTTCACTTGTCAAGTCGCTGTTTTGGGCCCACCTCCAAGTCAATTGTTCGATGGCATACTTCCCCACTTCGAGCACTTCTCCTTTTTATCATGTTGTTTGTGGGCATGTCATGCTTCTCCATGTTGAACACTTCTCTTCTTTCCCATGTTGTTTGTGGTCCCACCTCCAAGTCAGTTCTCAGATTACATGGTTCCACACGTTCGACATGTCTCCGTCTTTCTCATGTCATTTTGTTTGGCCCACCTCCAAGTCAAATTTCTTAGATGACACTTCCCCATGCTGAAGACGTCTCTTTGTTCTCATGTCTCTGCTTTTGGGCCCACCTCCAATTCATGTTTTTTACATGTCACAATTCCCCATGCTGAACACTTATCTTCTTTCTCATGTCGTTGTTTTGGGCCCACCTCCAAGTCAAATTCTGAGACGTCAGGAATCCCCATGCTGAACACTTCTCTTGTCTCATGTCGTTGTTGTGGGCCCACCTGAACACTTCTTCTGCTTCATGTCCAAGTCGAACTCTTAGATGTCATAATTCCCAATGTTGAACACTTCTCTTTTTTGTGTATGTTTTTTGGGCCCACCTCCAAGTCAATTCTCAGATGTCATGCTTTCCCGTGCTGAACACCTCTCTTCTTTCTCATGTCGTTGTTTTGGGGCCACCTCCAAGTCAACTTCTGAGCACAAGCAAAGATTGTGAAACTGGATGCAACGATGGGCGGAAAGCCGAGCCAGCGTGCTATGCAGCCAGGTGGAGGTGATTATTTTCTTTTCAGTTGGACAGATGGCATGGAACGAGTTGCAGCAAACATATTAAAACGAAGACAACAAGTAAAAAGGACACTGTGCAAGCTTCTTTGCTTGGCGTACAAGCTATTCCCAAACTCGTCCCCAAAGTCGTCCCGGGGGGGGGGTCTCGGGAGGGGGGGAGGGGTCGGCCCAAAAAAAAAGGGGGATATATTTTTTTGGCCGACC